AAAAAAAAAAAAAAAAAAAAAATATATATATATATATAATAATAATAATACGTGTTATATTAAATATTTATCCGCGCAATACCTCACATGCTTGCTGTGAATGGCGCCTTTGTTATCGATCTTCATCGCGCTTGGAATGCAAGGTACAAAATCGGAAATCGATTGCACGACGTTTTTGCTGCACTTGCCGCATTTGAATAACGTAGCCAACGAGCTATAATGACCCTTCTTATTATCCGGGATAACTTCTACTAGTGATATGATTAATTTACAAAACAGACGACTTTGAATTTTGTCTTTCTTGTCCTTTAGCATTTCGACGTCCTCGTTAGTAAATAATTCGGCCAATCTATTCACATTTATTCAATAAAACAATGATGAAGTGTAGAGAGGTTTCAGTTATTTTCATTTCATTGTTGATATAACAAATAATTCTGCCAAAATGAAATTATATCGAAACTATCAGTGATATACATGCCTCGTAAGAAGATTATCGTCCAGACATGTTAAGATCGTTGACGTTTTCAAAATGTCTGACATATTGTCGTGACAATATTCAAGACAATTTTCCAGAAGTGGTTCCATTTGCAGGAAACAAGCAGATACCATAACTGGAATTACATTATTAGCCTCGAGAACCGGCCATTCGGATTTCTTTATGATATCCTTTTTTACCCATCTCATCAGCCAGTCGAAGATAACAACGTCACAATGTACCGATATGTCTATTTCGTCGAGTTTTTGTCCGGCCGTTACGTCAGCAAAATAACACATCTTTTGTACAAGAAGCTTCTGTGGACATCGGAAGTTCTTTCTGATATTTTTGTCTTCGTCACATACGTGGATCTCTACTTCGTTCCTGAAACATGATAGATATAGCAATAGAGCGTTATTGATATAATAATACGCTATTATTCACAGTCTATTTGCTATACAGTGTGTTTGACAATTAATGATATACCTGTTGTGTGTAAGTAGAACTCATTGAACTGAACAAGAAAGTCCTCTACTATTTTGCAAATAATCATATAGATTTTTAATTACTAATTGAAGAAGAAATTTGATGCATTATCATACATAATCATGCATAATCATACACTAGTCTGTTTTAATTAATAACTCAAAATTTTATGTGATTGTTTTCGAAATGATAGAGGAATTTTGATTCAATTTGATAAGTCTTATCTGCACATAAGGGTGCATTATTAATTGTCAAACACTTTATTTTGAGCATGTAGCTTACTCCAATGGTTTTTTATTTGTCTTATTTTTCTCCTTGTCTTTCTCTTTGTGAGTTAGAGTTACTGTCTTATTTTCGACTATGTTACCCACTGAAGCACATTTTTTAGCATCTACAGTAGTAGATTTTTTAATAACAGGCTGTGACAGCGAAGATTTCGGGAGCATGTACGGCAACACAGAATCCAATAATCCCTCGTGTAAAATATCCCTCAGATTTTCCTTCATGATTTTTGCTAAGCCATATCTGCTTTCTTCTGCATGCTCTTTAGGCTGCATACTCTTTTCTTCTTCATTGTCAACTTGATTTTCCAACAATTGTTTCTCTTCTCTAACATTACCCTCAATTTTTAAACATTCATTAGAATTTTCTGTGTCATTAGGTTTTTGTATAGAATCATCTTTATCAGATGTCTCATAAATGCTAGTACTGTTAGATATTGCAGAAAACTGTGAGCTCACTACACTCTCAGATGTACATGGACTTGCTAATTTATTATTTGTTATTTGTAGTGATAGATCCTGTGCAAGAGAATTGTTTTTGTGTTGTTGTTCTTGTGTTTTAATGTCACAACTGGTGTCATGGTATGTTCTACCATCATCTTGATCTAAATTGATCCTTGTTAATTCATGCCAGTCAATTTCACTATTTGCACTCAGTATGGTAGCCACACCTTCAAAACTGTCACTAACTTGATATGAAGTTCTCATAAATTCGAAAAATGTTCCAATTGTTAATTTGGAATGCTTTTCCTCCTGAAGGTTGCGTAATCTTTCAACTAAATTCAAAGTGTTTATTATTACTATTGTCTACAATTTTACAAATTTTTACACTGCAATTTATGATGCAGTTCAATCTATTTAATGTAATTATAAATCAATTTATTGCAATTTTTTATCTGATCAGTAGCAGCTCAACAAAAATTGTGCTAATTTCTGTGGCATTGTATATGGAGATCCAGAAATCATCAAAATATATCAAACAAAAAGTGCAGTATCCAGAGTCTAATGTTGGTGCAGCCTAGGATACCAGTAAGTTTACATGTACCTTCGTTACTTGTTGAAGCACATGATTTTAATACTGCGTATGTATTCAAAGTTACATCATTACTTTTACGTGATTCCATGTTTACCCGAGTGAGAAAATATTGCAATTATTGCAAGTATTGCAATTTGACTTTTTCCTGTAAAGTTATCTAAAACGAAAAGTTATTTTATGTCACAAAAGTTATATAATGCAGATGTCATCAGCTTTTGAAAAGCATCGAAAGGAATTTTTGAGATGAGTGATACATGTAAATACTTTACTTGGATCATATTGAAGTTCGCCCGGCTCGGTTTTCCATTCTTTCGGCAATGTAAATCATTTTCAAGTCAGAAAAGTTCGTTTTTGCTATTAACTCTATTAATGAATAGAGACAAGGTAAATCCTAACCTTTGTTCGAAAAATTTCAATAAACAAGCTTCTAGCGGGTTTATCGATTAGACCCGATATTGTTAGTTTCAAAGATTTCAATGGGCGCATTCAGCGGAAAAAGCACTCAGGGACCAATTATGAGCGGAAGCAATCACGAGCGAAAACTGTGGAACGCTCGTGATTGGTTCCACTCTCGTTCCGCGCTCCGCTATTCCGCTACATGGGTTTGGGGAGCGTCCCGATTGACCACGGTACGATTGAACACAACCAACCGATGAAAAGAATTATCTAGTGAATTACTAGGTCGAACCAATCATTACAATCTGTGTCCAATCGTATCGTGGTCAATCGGGTCCCACTCTGGGTTTGCACTCTCATGCTTCTCTCTGCAGAAAGTGAGATTAGTTTGGACTCTGACTTACGAGATGGCACTAAACTTCTATACGCAAAAACACATAGTGCCCTTTTGACACTTTCCTCTCTATTAAATTCTCTGTTCTATGGAATTCTCTTTGAGATTTTGACGTCCGGTTGCCTATAGTTTTAACACGTGACAGTTCTTGTTAATCGCAAATATTTCCTTGATGAGTTGATGTTGGAATGAGTAATTTTCCTACTAGGTAACATATTGTTAAATTTCATCACGGCACATTCGCTTTATTCGTGACATTAGAATCAACTCTCATCTAGTTGAGTTTTAATCTATCATAGGTATATTATTTTTTCTTTTTTAAAGTATTACTTACCTAATATGTTTTTATCCATGCACTGATATTAACTAATTCTGATTATTCTAATAATATGTTATATTATTAATAATTTATTCAAGATTTTCTAGGCAAAATAAGTTACAGTAGTGAACTTATTTTCTACTGACAATGGTACGAGCAAATAAGAGGGATATCTTAAACATAGGCAGTGTCCTGAACGATTCTACTAGGCCTCTCAAGGAGCGATTCCGTGCTCTATTTACATTGAGGAATATTGGTGGTGCAACAGCTATAGATCAGATTCATGCTTGTTTCAAAGATCAATCTGCACTGCTGAAGCATGAATTGGCTTATTGTTTGGGCCAGATGAAAGATCCAGCAGCCATTAGTATTCTAACCAGTGTCTTGGAAGACCTATCACAAGAGCCAATGGTACGTCATGAAGCAGGTACGTGTTTAATGCATATAAATCTCTTGTTCAACCTCTGTGATTATTTATCCAAGAAAATAATGAATAAATAAATAACAGTACTAAAAAATACTCATTTTCTTCCAGGAGAAGCATTGGGTGCTATTGGTGAGCCTACTGTGATCCCATTATTGGAAAAATACAGCAAAGATCCTGTGCCTGAAGTAGCAGAGACCTGTGATTTGGCATTGAGTCGACTGAGATGGTTGGAGTCCAACAGCAATGCAGATGGTTCACAGAACAATCCATATATGACTATTGATCCTGCACCAGCTGCAGAAATAACAGATGTGCGTGTTCTGAGGAAGATCTTGTTAGACCAAAGCGAAACACTGTTTAATAGATATAGGGCAATGTTCTCATTGAGGAATTTAAATACTTTAGAGAGCATTCTCACCCTCGTTGAAGGTAATTTAACTCAGTAATTTAACATAATAACACAGTAATTAAATTCAGTAATTTTTAATTTTTAGTAATTTAATTTTTAATTTTTAGTAATTTAATTTTTAATTTTAGTAATTTTTCACATAACCATTGTGTGAGTGTCAATTAATTAACAAATATCCGATTCTTCATGAAGGTTTGAAAACTGGCAGTGCCTTGTTCAAACATGAGGTGGCCTTTGTATTGGGGCAACTTCAGGAAGAGGCATCTGTGCCGGGACTGCGGGCGTCGTTGGAGAACACGGACGAGAACGAGATGGTCAGGCATGAATGCGCAGAAGCCTTGGGCTCCATTGCCACTCCCGAGTGCTACGAGATTTTGAACAAGTACCTGAACGACAGTAAAAGAGTTGTCCGCGAGAGCTGTATAATCGCCTTGGACATGTGCGAGTACGAGAACAGCGCGGAATTTCAGTATGCAGATACATTGGCCAAGCTTCCTTGCACCGCGTAACGTTCGTCTTCAGAATGCCTGATGCACCTTATTTCCGCGGAAAAAGAAGAGAAATATAAATCACTTTCAACATCTACACGCTCAACCGAACGTTCCAGTGAAACGCTGAATAACGAATTAATATGTTTAGCATACTTAGGAAATCAGTGTTTTTCTTTTCCTCATTTCAACTCCCGACTATGCTCCCGATCGTAATTGACTATTAGTTTTGTAAGTTCCTTCTTTTCTATCTTTTTTCTCAAACCTAAGTAACCTTTGTAAATTTACGATCTCAGTGATCGTGAATTGCATAATTACAGAAAGAAATTTTAATAGACAAATATCTCCGACATGATTTATTTTTTATAATTTATGACTATACTGTAAATTAGAGCATATGTCACATTTGTCTGAACGTCTTGGCAATTGATTTTTAGACTCACTTTTTTATGTTTGTTGAGAACTGAATTGCAACGACCATTTTAAGCAACTTATTTTTTTTATTAAGTGTATATATATACATACATATATATATTTTTTTTAGATGAACAGATTGTACTGTGTGCTATTAGAGTGAAATATATAAATTAGACAAATGTATAAATTAGCGTTGAAGAGAGAAGAAATTAGATTCCAATGTAGTACCAATTTAGCTAAAAAAAAAAAAGAAACGGGTCAAGTGAGGCCAGCCATAACACCGTATAAATATGATTTAAACGGAAAAACGTATGTGAATTAACGTGATGTTGATGAGAAATTAATTACTTTATGTATGAAACGCGCAACAAACTCCAGGCGAACATATTAAAAATCTAAAGATTTAAAGATTGTAAGAAAATACAGAAAGTGCAATTGGAAGGTACAGAAATAACGGGTCTAATATTTATTATACCAGTGTTCATAATTGAATCTTATATTTAAAACTGTCTTAAATTTCCCTTCAATTATTCCATAGTTAATGAATTGATTCGTACTTCAAACTGACTTAAAACTTAAGCTTTAAATATAAGATCCTATGAATACCGGTCTTACACCGGTCTTACCCGTATTTGCTCGCCAATCAATGGCTCGCTGAAATCAGTGATACAAAGTCACGGAACGAAAAGACAAATAGAGAAAGTCTAATCCTTTGTCCACAACTTTGCTTTAATCTTTAAGCCGTAATAAATTGACCAACCACAGTCGATTCTTTAAAAAATAAGGAATTAAAGCAAGGACAAAAGGTGGACAAGAGGTCATGCGTGGGCGATAGAGTGCAACGTAGTTGACGCATGCATACGGAGATTTGGCTAGTAGCATTTGTAAATGTTAAAAGTTTGTAACACTGGCGCCAAAATCGAATCGCGCGGCGCAGCAATAAGAACATATTTTACGACGATCGTTTACCGGTTTCCGCGATTTCAGCTAGCGAATTTCGCGTCCGTATCATCGTTGGGAGTGCAAGTCTCGCGCGTTTGTTATGACGAGATATCGTGAAATAAGAGTTGGAAATGATTGCGTCGTGGAACGAGTAGCTGCGGAGCGGTCGACAGTCCCGAGGAAAGTATCGCGCGCTCGTCGTGACAATAGCGGTTGGAAATACGATTTTTAAATCGCTGTTCCTCACCGTCAGATGAGAGTATTGTGCGCGAATGTTATCGGGACTGCCGCAAGTAAATTGTTCGTCGTGACAAGATATCGTTGAATAAGCGTTCGAAATGGACATGTTGCGAAACGGACAGTCGATAGTTTTGAGAACAGTATCACGCATTCGTTGTATTCTAGTATTCTCGCCATAAGTGAATATTCGGAGTGTCAGGACGGAGCAACCGAGCCAGAATGCCTAGTATCAATGCCATTATCAGTGACAACCGGGAATTAAGAGGCTCGATTGGAAAACTAGGACCAAGAGGCTAGGACCTAAAGCTAGGAGCCAGAGAGGACGCAGAACGTGTCCAGCGATATATGATAATTCTGTTTTAATATAAGTTAAATAATTCAGTGTAACATTGTAACGTTAAAGTAAGACAATAACTGACAGCTTGAGATTTTATATTAAAAATTTTGTATTCGTTTTCGTCACATATGCTCCTATTTATTTTTGCACGTACTTTCATTGCGTAAAAGCATTTGTAATTCTGTGTAACCAATACGACGTAAACTTTGCAGAAAAATGTCAGTGTTCTGTCGGTAAAGTTTTCAACTTCAGCATCCCCTTAAGAAAAAAGTCTACTTGCTTCCCTTAGTACTGTTTGATTTGAATGGTAGTGCCATTGCAGGGAAGGGATTATAATATCTTAATGTCGAATTAACGCGGCGCAATTAACACTCGAAGCGAGTGCGTAACCGAATCGATCGTGATAGAAGTGTACGTTTCGTCGTCGTCAAGTGAGACGTTACTTTTCCGAGAAAACGGTAAAATTGCTAAGATCGAATCGTACGGCGATGTATGCGGGTAATGCACCGCTAATGACGAGCGAGTTGCGATAAAGCCCGCGACGCGAACGAGGCATTCCCGACATCGAGATCGATCGATCGACCGACCGACCGGTCGCACTATTCCTCCTCCGCTCCTTCCCTTCCCTCTTCTCGCTCTTTCGACGTTCTTCATCGTAGACTTGATTCAATCCGATTCAAATTTCCACCCTAATCACGCTCAATCGCGAGTGCTGACTATAACCGCGACGGTTGGATTTTGAAGTCGTCGGTTTCATGAATATCGCGTGTTATCACGCGAATTCATTGGCATATATTCGTAGCTTCCCGCGGAGACAATCGTACCTCGTGTCTGTCCTCGTTGCTTTAATCAAAATCAGGATTATTATCATCGATAATCGTCGAGTCGGTGCGTATGAAAAGAGCAATATGACGTGTCTAGATTCCAGATCAGCACATTCTGGGATTATTCTGGATGTATTCAGGACGTCCTGAGATACTCCTCAGGACATCCTAACTCCACTCAGGATGATATTATACTGCCTGGGAAGGCATCGGTGCACAGTGTGAAAAAGAAAGATCAATTTGAAGGGAAATAATTCAATTTTGCGACATTTATATCAACTCGTGACTTCGTCACCACGTAACATTCATAACATTCTATATAATTAGCGCTCGTCCTACTAATCCCACACAGCACAAATGTCCAAAATACATCCTAGAAACGTCCCAGGGATGTGTAATATACCTGGAATGTATAATATCTGTGAGACATATTTTGGACATTTGTGTTATATGGGATGCAATCATCTTATATTACTATAATATCAGATTATTTTATTCGTAAAATAATCATAAAACTTTCTTCTCGCCCTAACAACGAATAAATAGCCGTACGTTGAGAAAAAAATTTTTGGTCTTGATAATTATAAATTATGCTTGAGAAAACATTTTTTTATTAAATTCTACTATAAAGCTAGTGACAATAAATTCATATGTATATTATTATTATCACTTATAACTTAATATACTTATAACTTATATATATTATTATAAATTCATATACATATTACTATTATCACTTTAGAGCAACCAAGAAAAACGCTTAGGTCCAAAAATAATTATAATCTTAGTTAGATCAATCCTTTTTTTCTTTCAGCGTAAAATTAAATCACGCAGTTATAAAATGTAGGTTGGATCATCTTAATTTGATGATTGTTTATTCATTATTATTAGCAAGAGAAAAGTTTCAAGAGTATTTCACGACTCTGCTCAACCGATCGCAAGTGTCATTTTATAGGCATATCTTTTTATTGCAATGTATTTTGCAAATATTTCAAGCGTATATTTTATAGATTTGAAATGAACCTAATGATCTTGACAAGAGATTCGTATGCACTTAAAGTTTATAAAAGAATAAGAATTATTTGTCTTCAGATCGTTTATTTGTCACACTGCGCGCGATATGAAAGAGTGTTCGCCGCGAAGGGAAGAATGATGTTCTCCATTTTAAAAGAAGCTTGACTCGGACTGAATAATGGAGCGGTTAATCAGTTCCTAAAGCGGGGAGAGATTGACGCATTGTAAATATTGGACAAACGGGCATAGTTTGCCAAACCTTCGACATCACAGGTACCCGTGCGAAATTGTAAACTCCGGACGAAACCTTCGGATATTATTATCCGAATATACGTCGCGTATGAGGAAAGCGCAGGTGGTTCTTTCGGTCAGGAAGACACGGCCGATTTTCAAATTTACCTCGCGGTTTTCAGAGTTAGGAAAGTTGCTTTTGAAAAGTAATTTGTTATCGTTACTCTCCACACAACACAACGACTAAAATCGAGACATAAGACGTTTTGAAAACGTCTTAAAAACGTCTTAGAAACGTTTTATGTTTCAAAGTCTTAGAACTTCAAGATGTTTTATGTCCTGATTTGAACATTATGTTGTTGAACATTATGGGTTGTTATCTTAGAAAACTTAGAAAACCATCTCGTTATTGCTGCCGTTATCTATTTCGAGAAGTAACTCGTTATCCTTACTTAAGAAGTAACAAGTCATTACAATCTTTTCATCGACTTCTGAAGAACCTTTCTTTTTTGTCGTCCATTCCATGTAAATGTTCAGCGATTTCTCCAGTGAAAAGCTTGCACCGTTTTGCGCATTCGAGTGTAACCTTCGGACACGATATGTATATCAAAAATATCGTAGCGTGCCTCCTCGATCTCCGCGAACATTTCGCGTCTGTTTCTTTTATCGATCATCGTTATTAAAATGTCTATTATTTAACGCGCCCGGGAAAAATCGCGAGATCTGCGTTGCCGAAAATTCACGTCCACCGCGCGATCTTTTTTTTTCTATATAAATATCTTTTTTTATTTAAAGACACACCTTGGGGAACGATACCACGTTACCCAAGGTGTTCTACCGAGACATTCGCAACGCTATCGCTCATTGTAAAGTATAAGACGATTCTCGCCGGGGTGGGGACGAACGGGGTGGTCGATATTAACTGCGAAGCACCTTCCGCGGAGAACGCGAGTGGCGAAAATACTCCAGTCACATGCCGTCCGCGGTCGAGTGCGCTCGTCGTCGGAATTCGCAATCCTCCGCGCTTCTTTGCACGGCAAGCCCTCGTCCGCTGAAACCGAGGAAGTATCAATCGTTCATAATGCGACGGAAGACATCTCGGGTCCGTTGAACGTCAAACGTCCCGCGTCATCGTTGCGCGTCTCATTCGCGCGCTGCCGCGGCTTTCGTACAGTAAGCTCTCGTCTGTCCCGAAATATTAATCATTTCGCCATACATCACTAGAAGAAGAGAGAAAGAGAGAGAAAAAGGGCCGTAAGGAGAGAGAGAGAAAGAGAAAAAGAATGTGTGTATCCCGTTTGCGCAAAAAGTCTCGTGTAAGATAACGCGAAAATCGAGGAATCGTGATCCGAAGAAAATCTGCATTCGAAAAATTCGCGCGTACGACAATCCCCATGTAGCAGAAACTTCTAAAAAATATTTTAAGTCTGCATTAATAGTCGTTACTTAAAACTCTTACCCCAGGCGAGGTATTTAAATTTGAATTTCGAGTTAGATGTAAGTTTTGCAGTTGATTACAAATGTAATGTCGCATGTATTGTATAATCCAAATGAAAAACTCCAATCTAACTCTAAATTTGGATCTGAGTATCTCACGTGGAACAAGTTTCAACTAACGACTATTAAGCCTTAAGTCCATATTAATAGTCGTTACTTGAAACTTCTTTCTGAGATGCTCAGATTGAGTTCAGAGTTAAATAAGAGTTTTTTTAATTGAATCGTAATTGCAGATATAATGTCATTTGTATCATATAGCTCAACTGAAAAACTTGGATTTAATTCTGTGTGAAAATCTGAGTATCTCACAAACTTCAAGTAACGACTATTAATACAAGTCTTATGCATTTTAAAAAACGTCCTACTTTTTCAGGCATTTTTTGGGTGTTTTTAAGATGTCTTTTAGAAGATTGTGCTATCTGGGTCTTTTTGTAGACCGAAAGGTATCCCCCGAGATTCCTGGAAAGGATTTTTCTCCTGCACCCTTTCATTTCTTTCCAATACACGTAGGTTGACGTTGGTTTGAATTTTAATGCGAGCTATTGACCTTCGGTATCGACCTTCGGTATATACCATCGTGGTGTTAATTGACACGTTGAATGTCACGTTGACGGCCATTTGTGTTATGATATCACTCTCATATAACACATAGTTTAAAAAATGTTTGAGAAATATGTTTCAGACGTTTTATTTTTTCCAAGACGTCTTCACGACGTTTTAAAATATCTTAATGTTTTCTGGGCTGCATCTCATTGAATTACGTACAAAGTATAATTAATTGCATTTGTAAAATCAGTTTTATAGCTAATAGAAAACTGATGAAACGAAGATAGATGCAACTCGAACTGCATTTATTTACCATATCTTTGATAATTTTATTATCAGTTAAGCTTTTATACAATTAACGAAAATCAGTCAACATGTTAAATTAACCCTTTATTTTAAGTTTAGAGAACAGTAATCGATTTCTATTCTACTTGATGTGAGCAGTCATAGGTGAAACCATCGACAGTCTTGCTGAGTTCCAAAAGATTAAAATAAAAGAATTGATTTATCCTATTGAAGAAAATAAATACTCTCTTTGTTGCTTGGAAGATATCTGGAAAAGAATAAATGTCATGAAATAATATAAAATCTTATAAAATAATCAAAAATACTTAAGAAAAAAACGCAAAATTGTACTCTGACAGTATATCAAGAGTTGAAATAATCAGGAAGCGAAAAGGAGGTGAAAAGAAAATGATTCTTAACGCGTTAACTGCTACAATAATATTTTCGAACTTTGTCCTAGACGTTGTTTAAAAATTAGTGTGTTATTTTAATATTTTAATTAATTATATTTATTATTTAGCAAAATTAAGAAGGAAAAAAATTTACGCGAGTTAACTCATAGTTGACGTATCAAAAATTATTTCCACGTGCCAGCTATGAGATACTTGACAGTTGATGTGTCAAGTTTTCACTAGCACTACTCAAATTGCACGTAACAGTTTAACTCTGATCATCATTAATGAAGATAAATCATACGGGGAAAACAGATTAGCCGAATGACAATTTTACAACTAGATGCGTTTTGGCTGAGGAACACAGAACTCTGGTTCTCATGAGGCAAATTCGATTTGTCCGTTTCCTGCAGCCAAAACACATTTGAGTCCACAATGTGCTTTTTGCTTCACTTTTTCTGGCTAAAGTTTAAAATTTTAAGTCAGAAAGAGATACAGAGAAAAAAGCAGGGAGCAAAGAACATATTGTAGATCAAACTTTAGTTGTGTCATTGTCACGTTATTAATTCAACCAATTTCTTCGTGCATGTTTCGTTATCCTCGATTGGTAGAGCGCAACGCTTCGTTATCCTGATTCTCAAGTCGGTTGACGTTTCATTTATTTATTCGCCACGAAGAATTATCTGTGCTGTCTCGCGGCTTCGACGGTGTGCGTGTGTCTTTCAAGAAACGTCGGTGGTACGCACGTTTCCCCGCCGGGTTATGCAATCGCGTTTCGTGCGCGCTACTTTTACGCGAGGTTCGTGCGTCCCGCGAAAGATTCGACGATAAATGAACCCCGCGACTTCGCAAAGCGTCGCGGTGCTATCGCCGTCTTGAAAAATAACCGGCTCGGGTCGTCGTCGCTGTATTTCAATTTGAAAGCTTGCTCGAATACTAGCATTTTCCCCCGGCCATTAGAACATCCGATTTTCGCCAGAGACGCGCGTGCATTTGAGACAGGGTTGGGAAGTAACTCTTATACCGTTACAAGTCACTTTTCTCCTCAGGAACAATTTACAAGTAAACGTACCCAAATGGTACACTCCGATTTCTTTCTAATTTGGCACCAATGTAGAAGTACAAAAAATATTTAGATTATATTTTTGGCCCACTTTGAGTTTCACGGGCAGTTTATAGCTTTTTAATGTTCTCACTCCTATCATCAAAATAGGACAACAAAAATGCATAAGAAGTAAAATTGAATACAAGATATAGTTAAATTTGTTAATTTGTTAATTGTTAATTTTAACAAAATCGGCATAGTTGAGACACAAACCATTCTTTAGTCCAAATTTCTTTAGTCGAGATTTCAACCGAAATATTTTAAATCTGTGCTAAATTAATTAAAAATGGCTCGAATCTCGGTCAAACTGAGAAATTATTTGTATAAATAATTTTTTTCAACTTTTTACATGTTTTTTTTAAACATTTTATTATTTATACAAATAATTTTACACATTTGACTTTATATTCAGAAATCAGCAAAAACGCCTCTATCATTTTATTTTTTATACATTTTTGTTGCACTTGATGATAGAAGTGAGAACAATAAAAAACTATAAACTGCCTGTAAAACTCGAAGTGGGCCAAAATGAAAAAATATAACTTAAATATTTGTTGTACTTTTACATTTGTGCCAAATTAGAAAGAAATCAGAGTGTAACTTTTGAGTAGGTTTACTTGTTAGTGACATCGTTATTTCTTTTATTAGTATCGGTAACGGTAACAAGTTGCTTAAAAAAAGTAATTATTTTAATTTTACTGTTATACACACAACGCCATTACCGTTATGACTGTTTACTTGTGCTCAATAATGACTTGATAAAGCCGGTTCATTAGCAATGTCTGTTTCATAAACTATAGTGACGGTAACGCATTTGCATTTCTTAGATAACGTTAATAAATGCAAACGTTAATTTTATTGTTATTTTATACATGTGGAGAGTTACTTTATATATGGGAAGGCGACACAGTCGTTAAATTGTAAAAATACAATTTTCAGAAGTTGATGATAAAAGTAACAGAAGTTGTAACTGTTCATTAGTTTTTGGTTCAACAGTAACAAATTTTTTTCAAAGTGAATAATTGTAATGAATTATTTTTTTCAAGGATCCATTACTTTTAAAACGTATCTTTTTCAACTTTGATTTGAAATCATGAGAAAATATTATAATAAAAATTGTTAAAATTATATTTCTTTCTTTACAGCGTTTTTTAAAGATGAATTGTATTGAAATTATAGTACAAATTGCTGTAAAAATAGTAAATTTGATGATCTTATCTGGTATAAAAGAGATTCAAGTATATACAATAATTTTGCAGTAAAAAGTCAAATATGTACAACATTTTTAAGTAAATACATAGTAATTTCGGCCATGATTCTGTACGGTTTAAAATTAAAATTAATAAAAATTTCGTTGTAATTTTTATTACACGATAAATAAAATTTAGTTGGATTAACCAAGTATCTGGTAAGGTTACCAGAATTCTGCAGTTTAAATTATCAAACAAGATTTCTGGTTAAACGGAACTTACAGCCGTTCAATTGGAACAGATGTAAGTGCTAGTTAAGAAATCTTGTTCGGTTAACCAGATTTCTGTTAACTTGAACACACAATTCCGGTAACTTCAAGCGGAATTCTGATTCGTATTTCATCAGACATTTAGTTAATCTAACCAAACGCTTTTTTTCCTGCACTTTCTCCATGTAACTTGGCTCACACGCGAGATCGTGGACGACAGGGCGCCCTCGGCGATGCCTTTGACCGATTTTCTTTACCTCGCAAGAAGACACCCGTTTCATGAAACATGCAGCGCGTTTGGAACGTGGCCGTTCGTCCGGTAATTCGTACGCGACAGGCCCTGTCGGTCTCGGCGATTGCAACGACCGGCTGTCTCTGTCACGTCGATCGCATTGTAGCCCGTCGCTGACATGCCGGAAGCAAAACATACGTCAATCATCCACCGTCGATTGCGACGTACATATCTCCGGGAAGAAGTCGTAGACCCCGTCGCTCACGAGTAGGAAGCCACAGAATGTGACGTGGACACAACGTGGAAGCGCAACTTCCCTCGTTCGAATATACTTACACCAGAATGTAATATTCAAGCAGGGCGCGATTAGACGCAAGTTATAACTCGCGAGTCATACTTCCGCCGCGTGGTTTCTCGCTCTTGACGTCACATGGCGATCCGATATGCCCGCAGTAGCGAATACGTGTATGCACTTATGTGTATGTGTGTGTGTGTTAGAGGGAAGCGTAACTCTAGCGACACGTTCAATTCGATTTGCATTCGCATTCGAGGAATTAATCGGTTATACTCGGGGCGGATTGCACGTTTCGTTTCGTGCGCTCGAATCACCGGCTGTCTCATGGTCGTCGTTATTGTCGTCGTCATAAATTCGCTCCACGTCCCGAAATTGCACATTTCGTCTCCCGTGCGGGATAAGGTAAACGTCTGTACACTCTAATAATACTGTACCTAACTCTGAACATTCTTATTGTTTCGATCTTTAAGTACAAATATTTAAACATATAGTATAACAATATTTAAACATATAATATTTAAACAAATATTTACCATATAGGAAATATATATATTCTACGTTTTGAAAGTTTAAATATTCGTATTCGAAAACCGGAATAATAAGAATGTGCAGAGTTAGGTACCAGTGTTATTAATGTCCAGACGTTGATACTTTTACTTTATAGGTAAAAATATCCAAGTATTATGTAAATGATTTGCTTTGGCGTTACCTGCCGATCGTTACAATTGGCATATTCCTATGTTAGCATATTCAGTCTTTACAATCCTAGTTAGTTAACTAGTTGTAGGAAGAATCGATCTGTCTTCGCCTTCCCCTATCGTACTGTTATTATTGTCATTTATGTGGCGTCTTGGCTCTAACCGAACTTGGCTCATAAGAATCAGCAATTCTGTTCATTGCTGCAAAACGCGTTTAGTTCTTCCTCATTGTCATTAATCCAACCAATCTTTTTTCTTCGTGCTATTTCTGTAATTCTTTCCTTCGGCATATAGATCTTGATCGACGCGAGAGTCTCGGGCTTGATACACTGTTTTTCTTTATGCGGTTGTTAGTTCGAATCCACGTCGGTTCGCGCATCCACCCGTCAGCCGAGCAATCGTCATCAATGAGCGATCAGGAGCTGAGACCGCGATTGCGGTGTATCATGAAGGACAATCAGTGGTTCCCGAAGGACGAGACGTAGGGGGACATGTCCCGCTGCTTGTCGTCATCTATGACAGGATCGACAGATGCGGGGCCCCTGCAGCCCCAGGAAGATCCCGTGCCTCTTCCCGTCCAACCGTCGACCTTCGAGCGACCGGTATCGGAGGACAGTTCGTTGACCCGGCGAGATCGTCGCCGTCATCAGCCGCGACGGAAAATGACGTCCGCGCCACCGTCCGGGCAAACGATACAATTGACTCCGCTCTGGGAACATGTGGTACAGTGCGACGTTGATTTTGTTTCATTTACCCAGACAACATAATGTCTAAAATCAGGACATAAGGCGTCTTAAAGATCATCTTTAAGATGTCTTTCAAACGATTTACGTATAAATGTCTTTAAGGCGTCTTAAAGATTATTTTTAGGACGTCTTATGTCCCAATTTTAGACATTATGTTGACTGGGTAGTTTCGCTTTCCTTTATTTTACACAAATTTTTGTGCGAATTCTGTCGGGAATCGTTTGATCTCTGAAATATCGCTCTTAATTTTTTCTGAGTTTCTTAACAATCCTATTCGATCTAAATGAACGGGCTAGCATCGGTCTCGTTTAACCCAAGATTTGTCTATAGATACTTTCTAGCTGTTCTCCAATATATACAAGGTGATTTACCACTGTTGTGCCAAATAGAAGAATCTGTTATACCACTATTGAGTACTATACAGTTCATTCACAGTTGCCATAGTGCGGGTTGTCTAATTCACGGAAACTGAATGATAACATAATGATAACTTCATAAATACGCGTTTCTGGATCTTTGCTTATATAACAAAAATTGTTCTCCGAGGTGTTGTCTTCTATATTCTATTGACGTTTGGCACAACAGTGACGAATCACTCTGTATATAGTGTTTCGATGTTTTATTTTATTATATTTACCGCCACACTAAATTTATAAATGAGTCCCATCAGACTCAAATTCTTTCTCAGTGTTCTGTTAGCTATATTTTGTTGATTCTTCGCGATATTTTTATAAATACTTATTAAAATCATTCAAATAAACTATGAATAATGGAGTCCTTATGGAAACTCATGCATCACCTGGATATGGGTAATGCAACACTCAACGTGTTATAGAGGTCAAACTATCTCTTTGAACAATTCCGTCGTGAAACTCTGAAGTTCAAGTATAAAGGCGAATTCTGAGATACGCCTGACATCCGTCTGGTCCAGGTGCGCACGCGTAGGTTTCCATCCGAGGTCGACACGCAGGCCACCTTCGTCGAGATCTCTGAAAGACTTCGGGATCCAGAATGGGAGGTACGTCAGCATGCCCTACGGGTGCTGATGGACGTGCTACCGACTCTGAACGCCGATGTCGTCGACAAGGTCATGCAACCAGTGGTGCCGGAGCTGATCAATAATTTGGGACACCCAGCGCCGGCAGTTCGTAAGGGTGCCTTGGACACACTGAGGGTGTACCTCGTCCACAGCCCCAATAGGGACAGCATGGTGAAAAATGTAAATATCCGCAACGGATATTCATTGAAAAAGAAAATAAGGAATATTCTTAAAATTTTTTGGAGCAAACTCTCATTCAAAACGATAATAGAAACACTGCCGCTTAAAGCCGCAAGAGTAAGGGCCGGTTTTTCCAACCTCTTGCTAAGCTAACTAACAGTTAACTCATACGTCTGTCTTTGTTTCTCCTTTAAATTAGATAGAAACAGACATAAGATTTAACTGTTAGTTAGCTTAGCAAGAGGTTGGATAAACCGACCCTAAGTGTTTCACTCTAGCTTAGAGCTAATTCCGACTTCTTACGAGTAAATCACACGATGTTCATGTGACGGTATAATACATCAGATTCATTCTTCAAGTTGGAATGGAAATATTTATTCGACGATTCAGAATAAAGAATCTACTTATGTAGATGAAGGGAATATTGTAGTAAAAATTAATATAATTTAAACGCTATTTTTACTATGATCTTTTTTCTAGGTGGAGTGAATAATATTTTTCTAGTGAGATTTCACTCGAAAGAAATTTTCACTCGATTGAATTTTTCTTTGGCAATTTAAGCACTAGTTAAGTTACTGCACAATTAATGAAGATGAATGCGACAATCTCAACGTGTTAATAAAGTTTCAACGCGACATATCTGGAATCGAATCCGGTGTTTTCCAGATTTCCGTCGCGGAGATGTGATCTCCGTGTGATTAACGACGCGCCATCACCAGAATCGTTTTTCCCGTTTCCCTTAGATCCTGCACGACGGCTTGAACCGTCCGGACGCCCACAATCCGTTCCAAACGAACGTAACGACGGGTGTGATCCTGAGCGCGCCTCTGTTGCTCTTTCCATCCTCGGACAGTCCAGCGCCGACAAGCCAGGTCCTCAAGGACGCCACGGTCGCCTTCGCCTCCCGGTTAGTCCAAGTGCCGCATCAGGAAGCCGTTCTCAAATCTCTCATGAAGATCCGCGACGCGGTCGGCGAGGAGGAGTTCGAGGGCTACCTGGCGGATTACGACGATAACATGAAGAAGAACATCGAGATCCTCTCCAAGATCTACAATATCAGACCGGGCAAGAGGAAACAAGGGCGCAAGCACGCGACGGACATTATAAAGGCCGACAAGGAGCGCGTCTTGGACAAATCTCACTGGGACAGCGACAGCGACACCTCCGGCATAGCCGAGGAGGAGGACGAGACGCCGAATGGTACCGGGCCGCCGGGAAGGGTCGTCCTGGAGACCGAGATCAAATTCAATGAGGAGACGGCTATCACGATGACGATTTTGGAAGAGAAAGACGACGAGGAAGAAGATAGCGAAGAAGACGGCGAACAAGAGGACGTCGAAGAGAGCGACACCGTGGATGTTCTCGCGGACCCGTTCTCGGAAGACAAACGGAAGACACCCAGACGGGTGCATTTCGGCGGCGAGATCGTCAAGCTGAGGACACCCGACAGCGACGAGACGGAATCGATCGAGATCGCGGCGCCGAAGACCCGGATACCGCTTCCTGTGTCGCCAGCCACGAAGATGCCGGAGAGGGCTCGACGGCGGCCTTGGTCGCAACCGTGCAGCCCTCACGCGGAGAAGCGAGGGTCGAAGCGGGCTTCCAGGTCAGCCTCTAGCAGTCCCAAGAGAGAGGCGTACACGCACAACGCGCAGCTGAGCCCGAAAAAGAGCATTCTCGCGCGGACGACCAGCGGGGGGCCCGTCATCGTTGTCGACCCTGCGACGGAGGAGATGAAGAGTGCGAAGGAGCGGAGAAACGGTGAGAACACGGTCCTAGAAGACGAGGGCTCTCGTGCGACCGGTAGCTCTCAGCAGAGCGACGAGACGTCGAACAAGGAACAAGCGGCGCCGTCGTCGCCGAGTCAAGGCGAGAAGAAGAAGCCCAAGGACGACGACGACGCACCTACTGTGCTTCAAGTCGCAACCGCGGAAGAAGCTTTGAACACGTCTGCAACGGAGGAGCGAGTCATTCCTAAAAGAGGTGACAATCGCGTGGACGCGGTCGGCTCCAACGAGAACGACGTGGTCGAAGTTACCTCGAGACAGTCGAAAGATCACGTGCTGACGGAGGCACCGAGCCCATCCCGCAGGTCGCACATAATGAACAGAGAAGATACCCAGGTGGGTGACGAGGCTTTCGAAATGGAAGGAGGACGCTTGAATGAGCGAAACGTCGTTTCGGGGAGCGACTTCTTTTTCGGTGAGGTCAAGAGCAACGTCAATGTGAGCGACTTAGCGTTCGGCTCGCCGGTATACGAGTGCAACGCGCGAATCAACCGGCTGGTCGGCGGTGACTTCGTCGACGAGATCGAGCAGGTCGCCGGGCTGATCACGGAGGTGGATAGCGACGGCGAACAGAAAGGACGCGGTCAACGCGACAGAAAGAACGCGTCAGAGTCGAACGGAAGCGTCACTTGCAGCAGCAGCGAGGGCGAGGGCAAGCCGCAGGAGCCCAACTGGGAGGAACTGGGTCTGGTCAGTCAGGAGGTTTTGGACGACTTGCATAATAAGGTAAGAGCACTCGTGCGCGAAAAAGGGATTTGATTGGATATCAATATATCTATATTGGATTAATTAAATATCTGCTGAGGTATGAAGGAACCAGAATTCCGGCTGAAGAATTCTGTGCTGGAGTTAATAAGATTCTGGTTAACTAAACAAGGTTTCTGATTAACCAGATTGGTTAGTTCAAACGAATTTGTTTTCCGTATGTGAATGTTGTTTCTAGTGAAGGAGCATTCGGATCGTTAACAAATACATTGAAAACCAAACCGAGTAAAACGAACCAAATCTCAGGATTGAGTAAATTCTGTCACAGAAACTGAAATTAAATCGAGCCGGAGAAAAGTTGAGTCAGATTGACAATCTAACGAAGAATTTCAATTACAAGATTTAGTTGACAATGAAAGTTTTATGAAACTGGAACGCAGTTATATATCCATATGTATAAAATAGAATGTCCGTCTATCCGTCTGTATGTTCCCTAGAAACTTCTAAACCCTTTGACTGATTTAGACCAAATTTTGAATAGTTTAAGACTCTTTAAGACTCTATTCTGAAAATATATATCACCATGATAGCTGGACATCCCACCCTCTTCGCCTGATTTCATCCCTTTGACACTTTGTGATAACCCGGACGACACCGAGTAGTTTAAACTAGTCTGATATAAATGTTCTTTTAACTAGTAAAAAGTTAATCAAACTTTATACGAGTGTAACTCTATCTTCTGTGGAAAGTTAAGTAGACGATCGATACGATCAATGATGTGTTAAGACGGCTTTATGATCGCCTCATTGAACTGAATTTTGAGCTCACTTTACCTGAACAATTATTAGAGATTCAAAGAATACCAAACCTTTGCTGAAGGAATCAGAACAATTGATTTTTTACATACAACCCTGAAATTGAGTTCGTTTAACTCGATTTGGGTTATTTTGATTGATTTTCTTGTTTTGTACAGTGTAGGTAATGCGTCCTACACGTGTACAAGTGTAATTTCCGTGGAAGATTCATAACTGAGAAACGCGATAACGTCCGACTTTCCGGCAAATCAGCGGTATAAATCGATTTGCATTGTTATCATGCAAATTATACTCTCGAAATCCCTGGACTGTCGTTCTGGAATTTTATTTGAGCACCATAAATCGTGACAAATAAAATTCACCTTTGACCCTTTCGCTATTTTTCGTATCTTGCAAGAAAACTTAGGAAGAAGTTAAAAATTTGGTCTAAAACATTTCTCCATACACCTCATTATTTCGAAGATTATTATTCGCTTACGAATCATTTTATCACCTTTGAGGGATTGCTTCAATAGTTAAACGCACGACGAAGTACATATTAAAAAACAAAGTACGCCATTTTCTAGAATTCACTCAGATCTCACGACAGAACTTAGGAAAGAGTTAAAATTTTGGTATAAAACATCTTCCCATACACACCATGGTTTCGAAGATATTCACTCACGATTAATTTTGTTATCTTCGAGAGATGGAATCCTTAAACACACACACGCACGAGCAAGCACATATTAAAAAAAGAAAAACACACCCATATAGTTTTTCAGCTTTGCTCAAGAATATATTGCTAAAGAATACACCAAAATCCGTGAGCGACACTTCCGTATGTTCTCTACTGGATTAATCCTCTTCAAATCCACGTCGTGGAGCTATTTGCGCTATTATCGCGCGTGATTCTACGATCAATGATCTCATAAAAATCAGCCGTTCAATTCTAAGCACGGCACGTTTGCACCAACGTCAGCTGTTTATTCAGCTGAAGCTAATTCGATGTATCACAGTTAGAGAAAATCGAGAAGCAGGTATTCGTACATGCCGTACAGGTACGACGCCGGGTATTTCTGTGTCAAACGTCGCCCATAGAGATCCGTGCGAATACAATTCGGACCTATTTCTGGCGACCGCCGGGCTAATGCCCCGCTTCGGGCCACTCGATGCGACGATTAACGCTTTACGTTTGGAGACCCTTGACTTTAGGACAAGCCGGTCCGATACATCACGGTGAGAAGTAGGTCGATCGATTTTCGCCGACAAAAGTTCGTCGCGTGACGTAACGCGATTTAAGCTCCATCAATTATCAGGATTACGTGTACGCGCGTGTACGGGCTTTAATATATTTTTTTCCCTCCTTGTTCTTTCATTTTTCTTTCTCTCTGTTTCGTTGCTTATATCTCGAACACCAGGTATAGCCACTTTTGCGCAGTGTTTCTCATATCTTCACTCGAGGTGCGTCACCTCTCCTTGCGTTTTGGAAAATTACGCGGGACAAATTACCGCAACATGAACGGAGAAAGAGCGGCCGCAAACTGTGCAATGTCGTCGTCGTCGTTAATTATCATTGAAAGGCTGGATAGACATCTTCTAATCGTCGGATGTGGCGTACTCATAGTAGACATCGGGCGAATAATCGAATAGCTCGAAGTCCAGCCTCAGCTTCTCGTACAACCTCCGCACCATCGTCTTGCTCAGCTGACTAAAGTACACCTTGGACGCGTTTGCGTAATTATTGCTATGCCTCCATCTAGGTCTGATCTTGTTCTGCAGGCCTAACTTGTTGATCGCGTACACCTGATCTCGCCACAGCGTCTCCACCTGCGCGAAATTAATTCCATTAAAGGCGATATAGTCGCGAAACCACCGATCCATCTTAACCACGGATATTGTTCCGAAACAAAAGGGAAAACGACATCTCAAGAAATGGAACAATTTCCCGAAAAGTCATAGTCCGAAAAATACAATAATTTCTTGAAATATTAGATTGGTGCAAAAGGTTTGTCGCGATTGTTAAGTAAACACAGAAAATTATATCCAATTTCAAATTAATAACTTTTATGAATAAAAGAGGAACAAAACATGGACTTAGTATTTTTTTAATCTAGAAAGGATTTCTTTCCTTTCATAATACCTAAATTTGTCTTAATAAAAAAAAAATACAAATCTTTTGCGCGCCAATCTAATATAGTTTTTCGAAATATTGATCCTTTCGGACAACACAAAACTCGACAAAACAGGACAGCGTATCAATATTATTATTATCATGATTATTGTTGTTTTGAGAAAGCTGTGTTTATCTCGTTGTGCTGATTTTGGTATTATTATTTCTTATGCTTTCAATCCTTCGCGAAGGTTGCACTTTGGAAAATAATCTCGGGGTATCTGGATCTTGAAAATATGACTTTTCGGGGAAATTATTCAATTTTTTAAATTTCTTTACATTTTTTGCAAAACAAGGCATATACGCAGTACTTTAACAACTTAAATTGAGCAGAGTGATATGCATTAACGTCGCGGATCGGTGAAAGCAGGAGCGTGCCGTGATTTTTCCTTTCTTTCGCGGATAATAAAGCTCGGAGACCGACTAACTTTTTCCGACAGGAAGCGAAGTTCGGAAAGTCGAGGAAGTAGAGTTCGGGGGAGAATCGCGCGCGCAGCTCGGCAGCCGCGAACGATCGCAGCCACGACTTGATATTGACCTTCGCGATAATGTGGTATCTGACGAGGCACGGTGTGCAGAAAAGATAATACGGTATCCAATGATCGTCGGCGTAACTGGCGAGGTCGGTGTTAATCACATAGTCCACGAACTCCCGGAAGGTCGGCTCCACGCCAGCCGGCGGCGGTGCGCCTTCACGCCGGATCACCTGGTCCGCTCGTGGCTCGACGAAATCTTTCCCTGAAAGAAGTACCGGTCGTTTTCTGTCAATTGCCATCGTACGTCGCGTGAGCGAGAGCGAGCGAACATTAATCGGATAGACCATCGACACTCACCGCGATACTTCTGCACGATCTTGGCGCCATACTTCCGATAAAAGTGAAGCGTCCCGTGCTCCCGCCCGGCCACGGAGTTCTCCAGCTTGTCGCGGTAGGCGCTCAGCAGCCTCTCGAACGGATGCCGCACGACCAGCAGCCTCCAGCTGATGTTCAGAATCCGGGCGGCCTCGGGGTAATCGAGTTCCGGTATCTTTTTCCGGGCGATGATCGACAGCTGCTCTTTCCCGTTATTTAGCGTCTCCTCGGGGACATTCATTAATAAACAGAGATTATAGAGCCAGGTCGTGGAGCCGGCTTTGTACACCGGGCAGTATGATACGTTGTGTACTCTGCGCAGGGGAATCGTCAGTCTTATCTATAAGAGACCTCGACCGGCCTTCTCTCGTATCGGCTAAGCGTTTAAAAGTCAAGTACGATCTTTTCTCTACGAACCTGTCCATGTAGAAGATCATGTACTGAACCGCGGGCGGGTGTTTGAACAGCGAGTCTTCCGCAAGCTTTCGGTAGAATCCCAGGTTATACTTTTTGCATACTCTGTCCACATTCAACGATCGCCGGGTGTTGTCCGCCTCGGCTTCGATCTGTAACGAAACGTCACGAAATCACTGCCATCGTTCTCTCTCTCCCTCTCTCTGAATGTAAATCGGTAAAAATGTTTTTGATTGAATCGGTAAGATCCACCAATTTTCGTTTAGTATTTTATCGATTAGTGAATCAGTAAGTAAGGGAGACAGAATCAAGTCGACCCAAAGGTTGTGTTGGCCATACGTTTGATTTATTGTGAAAGTGACAGTGAAAAAGGAATCGCAAAGTATTCATTTTAGAATATAGGTACTTTTTCTATAGAGAACATTTTGTAATCCCCTTGCCATTGTTGCTTTCACAATAAATACATGAACATAAAGTATAATCAACGTGACTCTTAGGTGACTTGATCCGGTCTTATCGATTTTCAGTAGAAATATTTATATTTATAAATATTTATATCTCACTGATTTTGACTAGTAGAAATAAGATTTCACTGCAAAATCTATAGCACACTGTAATTCCTTATACATTCTATCAAATTCAACTTTCTGCATTTGCGACGACGAAATTAATGGCTTCTATGCACCTTGCGTGCTATGACATTGTCTGCATTCGCAAAGTGCATCAATAATGGAAACGGTTGATACTACTACTAACTGAAAGTTTCAGTGAAATTTTGCCGATTGCAGTGCTATTCTTACAATCAAATCACTTTATTTTCATTCCGTATGCGCTATTTAGATGTATGTATTTTATTATTTCTCCTTACATGCCAATAAAGGACATATGTGTTGCTTATGTTTTAGAAACTGAAAGAAACTGAAGATATGTTATTAAAAGATTTGCTATGTTTCTAACGAAATTTACTATATTCTTTAGCGAGATAGGCCTTATTGTGGTAGTCTGCTTCTGCGCTACTAGAAACATAATAAAATTGAAAAGAATTTAAGTGAGAAAACAGGAAGAGAACTATAATATTCTCTCTGTGAGAGAATATATTTGTACAGTATTAACAACGAAGAATCCACTGATTATATTATACTTCAGAAAACGCATCGTCATCAAAACCTCTCTTGCTTGCTTTATCGTCAGCTCACCATCAGCCTACGCAAATCTTCGCCGGTAGGAAGAGGTTCGCTCTCATCTCCGATGATAAAGAGAGAAAATTTCAAAGTCAAGAGTGCGACTCCCAGACAAATTACGATCTGTAGTATTCGGAGGATCGCACGTTTTCGCGACCGCGACATAGTCGAGAAGCACGGCGAGCTGTTTTCTTGGATTCGCAGATGTATCGGCACTACTCGTCTCCGCGAGTATACGTTCTTTTGTTCGTGATCTATAACGGGATCCACGGTGGAATTTTCTGAGACCTCACGGGACACTCTTCCACTTTGCTATCGAGCCACCGACTGACCGGTTCCGCGCTCTCTCGTGACAGTGATGGATCTAGAGTATCGTCTGCCCCGAGCAATCGAATCGTAGAATCGATACCACCACGCATTTTGGCGGCGCATCGTCGATTTTCACAATTTCGGATAATCTCACTGGTTTAGATTCAATTTATTGTCTGCGAAGCGAGCTGCCGAAATCAGGTTTTCTGAATCGCACCTCATCAATATCTTTATTATTCTTGAACATGAACGACAGCTAAAGTTTACAGTTATATCTTATTTTGTGTGTGCTACAAACATTGGAAGAGATAAGATACGATTTAAGAGACTGTTACGGTTTCAGCAACGCTCTTTCCTATTCACGCAACATTTCACGTTGTCTCCTGAACTGAACTTGAAGTTAGGTTGGATTAACTAAATTTCTGGTAAAGAGAAATAAACGGATCAGAGCAATTCTGATTAAAGCTGTCAGAATTTTGTCCAGGTTAACCAGAGATTTTGTTAACTTAATAACAGAATAAATTTTGATAATTTCAGTCGGAATTTTTTTGATTCGTTCATGTTTCACTAGAAATTTGGATAGCCAAGACTTTTTCTCCGTGTGAAGGTGTGATTTTTCCACTCGACAGAATTTCATTTAATAATCCCGCGAAGAATGACGACAGTTGGGATATTATTTTAAACGAAGTGTTAACGAGACAATTGGGAACGTGGCGAGTGAATCGATGCAACGTGGCCGATGACTGAGTCCACTCCTGGAGTCCGAGTGAGGAACGTCATGGCTGAGAAAGCCATGATCCTCTCCGCATGTTAATTCCGTTAGCTCAGCTGTTCAAACCGTTCGCTACGTCGCTCGATAAGGTCTCGAGCGTAGCAAACGAACGGTGGCTCCTTGATTTGAGTGAATTCTGACAAGAATTATCGTTCGGTGAACAAGTTAATTTTCGACGAGCTGGCGTAAATTGATCGATAATAAAAACATGGTTCATACACAGAAAAAAAAGATTTGCTAATATATGGACAACTAAAATTATTAACTGCAGGAGCAAATTTTCTTGCCTTTATAGCAAAGTTATTTAGCTATCACAACTAAATAATTTTGCTATGAAAGCAAGAAAATTTGCTCCTGCAGTTAATATTTTTAGTTGTCTATTACGTCCCGTAGGGCCTTACGTACCTTTACATTGCGTAAAGACCGATTACTTATCCGATCAGGTTACAAAAGCTAAGTACACAGAAGGAACATGTAGATCTCGAGCCTTACAAAAGAATCATGAATCATATTACCTACAATTACGCATGTCCACATATCGCCTGATCGAACATTTCCCGAATTTCTACTTTTTCCCACCAATCTGAGCCTCATCCTTGTTACTAAGCAGGATATCTACAACGAATCCGGTAACCGCCATCCTCGAAATTTCCCATTTTTCGAAACTATAAAAAGTCCGATCCGTATGACTTCTGTGATTATTGTCATTACGACGTCTATAACTATCACCACGGGAATCACTTCTGTGATCATTATCATTACGACTTCTAAAGCTATCACTACGAGTATCACTTCTGTGATTATTATCATTACTACCTCGACGAGTATCATCTCAAGAATCAGAATCGAAGGAAGCAACTATCTCAGGAGATCCAGAACCATCCATTTCTCTCCTCGTACACACTTACAGTAAGCTATTGTTTTATTATCCATCCTTCCGCGTCTCAATTTCACTTAAGTCCAGACAGCCATTTTTACGCTGTATCAAAAACTCAACCGCAATAATTCCGGTGGACATTAATTATCGGTCAGAATTTCTAAAATCGGTTTGTCCCTTCCCCCCGTTGTAGTGGGACGTCGATCTTGCCAGCAACGGAGTGATCTGCGCGAGACTCTAGAAACTCTGGAACTACTGTCTTCCGTCTCAGACTCTCTTTCGCGCGAAGTATTTCAACGGATAACCCATAGATTACTAACACAATATTTAGATCTAGAAGATCTACCCCCCTTCCTTCTCCACCTACAGCCATTTCCGCTAGATTCGCATTCTCGTCCACCATCTCCATCTTTTCCTATAAGTTATTCTCCACCTCCTTCACTTTCAAATAATCCTGAACATTAACGCTCATCCTCACATACACACACACACACACACATACATTGTAATTATAAATAAATCGTATGTTATTTCTTTTATAAAGAAACAATAATTTCTTTTGTTTATCCGTCTTCTCCTATTATCGCTCAAGGTCCAGTCCCAAGTAAAGAGATTCAGTTCTCTGACTCAAAACTGGACCGCTCGCCGTACATCATCGGGCTAGTAAAGTGACCCTTCTGGTCGTTGACTAGCTCTTCGACCTATAAGTACAGGTGAGGCTTTCTTTACGTTGCGTTTTCCTACAGGACATAACAGCCCATATATTAGCAAATCTTTTTTTTTCCGTGTAGTATCGCGCTTGGTTACGACACTCGTGCTATGTAACGTACGTGTATTAGTGCTGTCAATTCCGGATATTAATCCCGCAATCTCGGCTACTTCTTGACCACCCGACTCTTTCTCGTATGGCTCTCGCAGACCAGTGCGATTTGCGACGCGACACGCTATATGCGATGCGCGATATCCAATGAGCGTACAGCTTTTCCGGAATACCAATACGCTCATTGGATATCGTTCGTCGCATATCGTGTGTCGCGTCGCGCATCGCACTGGTCTGCGAGAGCCATTACTCGCCTACCTAGATATTTTTCAAATACCTGCACGGAAAAAAAGATATGGACAACTAAACATAATTTGTTGTGTTAGCCACTTTTTCTTTGCTGCAGGAACTAATTTCTTTGCTAAGATAACAAGAAAATCTGCTCCTGCACCAAAAATGTAGCTAAAGCAGTAAATTATGTTTAGTTGTCCGTCTGTAGCAAATTTGCTACGTTAACCACTCGTCTTGCTGTGCGAGCAGATTTTCTTGTTATCACAGCAAGGAAATAGATTCCTGCAAAAAGAAAAAGTAGCTAACACAGCGAATTATGTTTAACTGTCCATATATAGCAAATTAGTTTGCTGCTGCAGCAGATTCTTATTTTCCGTGTGGGGATATTCGTTTATCCGACAGTCTAGTCTAGTCTAGTCTAGTATTAATTGCAAACTACATTAATAATGGGAACAGTTGATATTTTAGTTGATTTTTACAGCAAAACTTTACTATTTGTAATGCTCATAACTGAATTATTTTATCTTCAATTAAGCTTTTCTTTGATTAAAATAATCGGCAAGTCAATCATCGAAATTAATCAATCATCTTATATGTAATCGTGAATAATTTAATCGATCAAGAAAGTTACTTATGATTTCATATGTATGACGATTAATTAATTTGAATTATTGATTTGCCAATTACTAAGTCAAAGAAAATTTTAATCGATTGATACCCAACACCGTTACCCAGTTATCTGAGTATCTAATTATCTATTTTTATTGTTGTTTTATTGTTTCTTCTTATTCATTCTCCGAGTCACTCTATGCATAGAAATATTAAAGAAAGTTTAACGAGAAATATAGACACTTTATGAGATACTTAAAAGAATGCTGAAGTGAATGACGAGTTTCAAACAAAACAATTTTAGGTAAATAAATTCAGATGAATACTTGTTAAAATAAAATATGAAATATATCTGGCGAAATGTCCACTTTTCATTGACCTCATCTAAAAATGTAGAAATATTTTTCTACATCGAGAACACATTTATACAGAGAGAAACGTATGATACTATTGATTTTTTATTTTGGATAATTGATACATTGATTAGTACACACGACTTTTGGATATCCCACAGACTTCTATATACTACTAGACTGCTAACTCCCTAGTTACAGCTAAGACAAAAAGTGATGGCCATTTTTGTTAAGACATCCGATATATTCAACATACTAAATTTTGCCTTAACAAAAATAGCTGCCCCTATTTACACTACGTTAAAATTTTGCCTCACTTTTCTACAGGCCGATCGTAAGGAGTTAGCAGTCTAGTAGTATATAGTAGTCTGTGGGATATTCCACCTGGATACGCGAGTACACGAATAGTAGCCGTGAATTTTAGGTACTCGAGTACTACCTGATGTATAGAAATGCCAGGCACTAGTACGTACGTACATACGGCCCGCAACGGCGACCATCACCGGGGTGTACGCCGTATGTTCATTCAGTGTAACTTCAAGGTTACCGCACCTAGACCTTTTTATGATTGCACGTGCGACCCCACCGACGCGTCTGCGAGAAGCCCGTGAAAATAAATATGCCACGATCGATTTTCACCAGACGTTCGCCGCAATCCCGGTTCTAGCATAAATATATATACACTCATCTATTTCGCGTTCGACTTCTCCTAACGTTGTATTTACACTGCATAATTGATCTACGATGCCACCTGGAGTTTCCGCCGCGCCTGCGGTGCAGTCGCGCAACTTTTTCCAGGACTTCTTTGCCCTGACTTCTTTGTCCCAAACATGAATTCGACTCAGCTCATGATGAAATCATTATTTACCGTTTGTTAACTTGATTCATGATTTAAATGACGAAATAGATAACAAACTGTATCGATGATAAAAGGTCTCAAACTGGGAGAAGATCGATTGCTTGATTAAATCGGTCAAATTAACGTAACAATAACAGAACGAACATCGTGTTTGTTGAAGGAAACGTAATTTCTGATTCTTAAGGCCTCGCCGCGGCCATGTTGAATTTGTGACGTCAAAAGTGAGGAACGATATAACATATTGAGGAAAGTTGCATGCTATTTTTATATAAAGATAAATATAGACGAAAGAGCACTTGAAATCATTTAAGCATACTTGTAAAATTGTCCGAAAGGCATCCTTTTTCCCTGATGATTAATAAACAGTCATATAATAAATGGTGAAATGAGACATGCAGATAAAACAGACTAACTTCATCATTTTTCTCACATGTTTAATTTTACTATTTATTATACGACTATTTATTGATCATCAGAGAAAAGGAATACTTTTCGGTCAATTTTACAAGTGTATTTAAGCAATCTCAAATACTCTTTCGTTCATATTTATCTTTATTCAGAAATGAAACATGCAACTTTCGTCAGCATGTTATTTCTCGCTTCTGATGTCACAAATCCAACATGATTGGCAAGATACAAGGAGCTTTAAGTAGCAAATTTGGTCCATAAGAGTCAGAACTTCTCTTTTCCTTCAACCAAAACACGATTATATGTTATTATCATATTAATTCAACCAATTTTTATTCTCTTCATCAAGTAAATCAAGTAAATATTTCCTTGCAAAAAGTTGCGATTATCGACACTTTGTATTTTGTCGTCCCTCCGCCTTGCGATGTTTCTCAGAAAAGAGTTTGCATGTTATGCGTAATATTTACTAATCGGATTTTCCTCACATTAACTCACAGAGCGCCTCGCGCTCCTCTCATTCCCTCTATAGGAGACGCGATGAATAATGCTGCGGGAAGCGCATTTCACAAAATTGTTACCTCATATTTTTAAGGGTTGGGATAACGTCAGTTTTATACGTTCTTGCCGTGTCAGGCGACTGATTGGCGTCGTTGCGGTGATATCACGGTCGCATATGAATATTTCCCGCGGCTGAAAAACGCCGCGAGATTTCCCTCGCGCGGATCGTTACGCGACCGGGTGTGCGTGGGAGCTTAGGGTGGCGAGAAGAGGGAAGGGAGAGGAAACGTGCGGCCGCGGTAAGTCGCAAGAAAATAATTAGGCACGTGTTGCGTGCCACGTCGGTCCAGGTAGGCGTCATTCCCGTGTATATGCAAATCAGCCGGCAATTGTACCGCCATTTACCTACCGGATCGAGTGCAATTTTCAAGCCGTTCTTCGATTCATCATAGCGCAAGTAGCGCTGGATGCGCCTCGACTGGCCATTTCAAGCCCGTGGCAAGTACACTCACAGAAATATTTTGCTGGTCCAGATAGAATTTGAAATGTCACAGTTAAAATTTATCGTTGTTGTTTGTACGTTTGCCAGGAAATTGTCTGTGGTACGTAGAATCTACAGCAATAACGTTCTATCTGCAATATCTGCGAGCGAATTTAGATGGCTGTGAGGATCATATATTTGTTATTCTCTCTCGTAGCTGATCTTTCTTGTCTACCACAATCAAATTTTTAATCTGGATGAGCGTCACAGAGAGACTTTCTTGCTAAATCTCGCAAATAGCTTAGAAATTCTGTCCAAAATATAAAACATGCGCGTTACCGCAGTGTTTGCTGATTATTGTCTTGGCTAATTTCTCGTAATTCTTTTTACGACTGTATTTTTTTTAGTTTTATGTTTATTCGCCGTATGTCCGTCGCATGTGCGGACTAAGGACGCGTAAATAAAGAGACCTTGAAGCACGAGTGTCCAGGGTGCATTTCGGGAGTGTTGAACAGTCAGAGACGCGAGAATCGACCCCGTGCGGTGGTGAGTTCGGTGGAAATACACGGTGAGAATGCGGATGCCGCCGGTGCAATGCGTTCGGTCTCTCGCTGCAGCGATCGATAACGCAGTCGCGCGACTCGTGAGTTTCCAGCGACACTGTCCCCTTCTCGTTCCCTGATCGTATTCCCAAATAATAATAATAATATTAGCCTAATAGGGGTCGGCCCAGTTAATCCTTTGAGATCTTGTGTCGAATTTGACTGGACATGTAGCATTTCGTTCCGCTCGTCTAGATTAACTCGTGCGATTAACTTAACGATTTCTTTTGTTTTCTTTTTTGATATTTTAAAGGAAAATGTAAGAAAGTTGTGTAATTTTTTATGGCGCACATTGAAGTAGTCTAAGGCTATTGATGATGTTTATCTTCAACCATGCAATATTAAACTTCACGATATTGTGCGAAAATAGTCAAATTCACCGGCTGGAAGGAAACTGCGACAACAATTAGAGGTACAAAGGGTTAACACGTCCATTACTAACGTTATACGAGGGTAGGATGAAAAGTTCCGAGCTTGAATAAGAAAACAAAATTTTTTTGGATCGATTTTCATTTATTTCTCAACATAATCTCTATTCAGCGTGATACATTTTTCCCAACGATGTTCTAAAGCGGTTATGCCAGGCTGATAGGTCAATTTGTCAAGTTCCTTAAAATAGCCATTTACAGTGTCGCTAACTTCATTGTCGTTCGCAAATCTTTTTGCACCGAGCTATTTTTTGAGATTGGGAAAGAGATAGAAGTCGCTTGGAGCTAAATCTGACGAGTATGGTGGGCGGGTAAACAATTCGAACTTTAATTAATTGATTTTAGCTTAATCACGGCATGAATTTCCACTTTTTCCATTTTTACAAACAATGCTTGAGGCGTTTACTCTGGCGAGCTATCAAATCGATACTGAACAATTTATTGACTTGAACCTTCGAATATAAGCATATGAAGAATGAAATCATGCAACACTATTAAAATATTAAACACAGTAGATTTATCTATATATGAGGCCCGGAACATTTCACCCTATCCTCGTATCAGTATCAATATTATATAATTATTTGCCTCTTTAAGGAGGCCTGCTTACGGCGCTCAGATTGTTGTTCATTGCGCCCTCGGATATGTCGAATAAAAAATCACTCGATTTGTTCTCTTACGTGTATCCTTGCCGAACGTAGCGCGGGAGGAGTCAGTCGGAGTTTCGAATCGAGACGAAAGTTGGCACACGCGATTTCGGATGAGTCACACGATCGCGACTAAATATTCGGCGAATATGCGACTGGTCAATTTCCACGAGCAGGCTATTTAAATGCGGCTCATTCTTATCACGCGTAATTGCCGGGAGATCCGCGTCACGCGAAGAGAGATGCGCGAGTCGCGGGGGCGGGTATAACGCCGGTTACACGACGGTTGTGCAGGTGGACGCGCCGTGAGATTCTAATTCCGCAATCCCTTATCGTCAACCGTTGTCACTTTTGCAGGACGATTGGCGAGCGCGCGTGAGAGCCTTAGAGAGAGTCGCGTCGGCCCTGCGGACGTCCTCGGCCCTGATCGCGATAGAGTCGCGATTAGGATCGCTCTTGCATGCAGTGCTCGGCGGCGAAAGGAGCTGCCGGGTGGCCGCTGCCGGTTTAACGGTGGCGAAGGTAAGCTCATAACTCGTTCCACCGAGATCGTCGTAAATGCGCCGAAATCTCGGCCAATTTATCGCCTGCGCGAGGATAACGCCGTGCCACTGTTCATTACTTAATAATGCATCGCGCGAGTAATGCGGGTGTGCATGTGCCTGTCGCAAGCACACACGCACACTCTTCAAGTGAAATCTCATTCAGGACAAGTAAAAACCGAGTCCACCGACAGCGACAATACCGCTACTCGGAATCACAAGACCGAGTGTTTTATCAGAACTGTAGAGTAAATTCTTAATGCGTCTATTGCAGATTCGATGCAGATTTTTCTTTATTGCACCTCAGTATAGTACCTCGTAATTTTCTTTTTTAATTTCGCCATGGAAGTGTTAAGAACTTTGAAGTATTAAGATATCACTCGTGAAGAGGATTCACCTGTTATGATGTCTACAGACTACATCTGCAATAAATGTATTTTAATCCATATGAGCGAATACTTCAGTCGACTAGAATTGAATGAATTTAATTTTATTTTTGTGTATATAACGATGGACCATATCACGCTACTCGGAATCACAAGAGCGAGTGTTTTATTAGAACTGTAGAGTGAATTCTTAATACGTCCATTGCAGATTCGGTGTCTTTTCTTTATGGGAACCTTCTAACCTCAGTTATGAGAATCTTATTTTTTAATTTCGCTATGAAAGTATTAAGAATTTTGAAGTATTAAGGTATCACTCGTGTGAAGGAGATTCACCTGCATGACATCTGCAGACGACATCCGCAATAAACGTATTAATCCACACGAGCGAATACTTTAGTCGATTAGAATGGAACGAATTTAATTTTATTTTTGTGTGTGTAACGGTGGACCATATCAGATTCACTCTTCAAAATTTCAAGTGAAAATATTCATATTCGACGATTTACAATGGAGGAACTCGTGACTCATTTATATGGGGAATCCGTACTTTAGTGAAGAATCACTTGATCTTCAGTGACTCGCAGTTGTCGCTCTACCTTTTGAGTGAAATTTTTGAAGTAATTTGAAGAGTATTTTGCGAAAGGAATTTTATTAAAAAAAATTTAAAGAACACATATGTACACACACACATGTTGCGTGTGAGACAAAAAGTTTCTTGTCAAGAGGACAATAAGCTTGTTAATTTGAGCACAACTCACTTCGCAATGAAATCAAAATAACATATGGACATTTCTTTGTAATTTGTTGGCGGACAACTTTTCTATGAGCTCGTGGTGTTTCCGGGTGGAACTTGCGATATTCGTATTCTCCACAAGCATTAATTCAAGTTAAGAGTTCGTCGCAAGGGCACCTATAATGCATCAATTCCGCAATACAAGTTGCGCAGGAGACATTTCTAACTATTACAGAAAGAGATAATACATTTCTGTACTTTTTCCATAATGTCAAAGGCTCACGATGCGTCGTTGCGCCAGCTATTGCTCGAGCTTCCTACGTGTATTCTCGCTCGAATGATTTCGTATTTCAGGTTGTCGTGGCTGGCGTCTCGGAGGACGCGCTCAAAAAGAAATTACCGCAGTTGGCATGGGGACTTGCCAGACAAGGCGGTCCAGCCGCGGCGCAGCTCGCTAGGATCGCAATGATCAGGCTCAAGCCCAGCCTGTTCCTGGAGCAAATGTTGCAGCCGCATTGTCTAAGCGCCAGGAACGCTAAGGTGACTCGATAGTTGTGCAGATCACACAGGCAGAATATTTTATACAGCTTTTCTTCACATACTTTCTTTTCAAGTTTCGTACTTCCTATTTATAAAGTTTACTTTTTATAAATCCTCTCCTCGCTACCAACATCATATATGTGTATGACAATAACATTTTTCTTTGTGTATCCACATATAAACAAATCAAGTCTGTTTTGCACAATTACATGAATACACATGTGGTTTGTGAGGAAAATTATCCGAATAAACTGTGATAACGAACGTGTTACGTCACGTCAAGTCAACTTTGGTCGATTCTTCGTAGACGAGAGAGAACGCGCTGCAACTGTTGATCTTCTCGCTGGTGACGTTTCCGAGTACGGAGTTCAAGCTGGAAACTGTGGCCAACCGTGTGGCGATGATGGTCGCAGATCGGCGACGAAGAGTACGTCAAGCTGCACTCGATACCTTGGCAGTTTTGGCGCAGATCTACGACCCTGAGGTACGTCAATATAGAAGAAACGCGCAAAATTTCGACAATGTTACTCGGTAACTTGGCATCGAGATGAAAATTTCGGACTTATCAAGACTGCGTGATAACAAGAATCGAATTAATTTCTACGTCAACGTGCGCTGATTGCTTCTTTTTTTATTTCTTGATTATTAGTTCACATAATTAGTTGTTTTGTATTTTACTATTGATCTGGTTGGCACAAGTAGATTCATGTGTGGCTCAACTATATACTGAGAAGAAAGTACTTGAAGATTTATTCGTGTGGAACATAAAGTTCATTCGTAGAAATAAATCTGATTTCACAGAAATAAACTTTACAGAAATAAATTTTATATTCCAAAAAATAAATTTCTGTCAATATACTGTTTTTCTGTATACTTGAACTGTCGATGTTTCTCTCGTAGGAGGTCCTGCAAGCGGGGAGACGAGCGGGCGACGGGAGCCCCGACGCCGAGGCGATGTTGGCCGCGATCAGAGCTCGGCTGGCCAGGAAGTCGCTGCCGTTGGTATCGGCCGACGGCCTCGTGGTGTACGGTTTGCAAATTTCACCGACTGTTCAGATCGCTACTGGTAATAACAATCGGGAATAAGCGAGCAAAGCATAACGCACTCGTGGTAGAACCTCGTCACGTTCAAAACAGGCGGACTTCGAAAGCGCGGTGAAAATCTCCCTTTATCCGTATTCGTTCGTTACGACGGAGAGTGTAGAAGATTGATAAGTCTTTTAAGCAAACGATATCTTCCTGGTCCGTCAAGGTCCAGTCGGTACTTTACCCTGATTTCTTTCTCTCGCGTGTTCGAACTGCGTGTCACGCTGCGTGCGCATCGCGAAATCACGTAGCATTACTCGCAGACGTTCGCGGGCTCTCATTTTCTACATTTGGAAGCAACCTTGTATTCGGTCGCGGTATCGCGTGACGTTTCGGTGTAAAACGCGCAGTTTGATGTTACACAGTTATCTGCACATATATCATAAAGCCTGTTCTCTTTAACTACACATGTGTTCCTCTCCCTCTTCTTCTCTACTGATTTTCTATAAATTTTCGGGACAATTCACACTCCTAATATCTTGGCAAATTGTCTCTCGATGTCTTTTGGCTTTCAAAATTGACCTTTTTGGAGATAATCCTGCTCCGAATTCCAAAATTTTGATTCTTCGCACGAGAAAGAAATCTCAGTTCGTGTAACTGAATGGTGATCAGACGAGAAATAATAGATCTCTGTTACTGTGACCAAAAGCATTCATCTGAACGTTCGGCTGCATTAAAACTCAGTTAACGTAACTGAGATCAATTGGCTGAATAGAAATCTCCAACAAGAATCTTTCTGTATCCTTTAACCGAGTTCTTCGTCTGGTTGCCAGAAAATTCAGTTATATCAATGGACTTGTTTCTTTCGTGCGGGGCAATGCATGTTCATGGTAATTGTCTCACTTTCGTCCCGAGCACTGGATATGCGCTCAAAGAGCGATATACAGTCGAAGAGAACAGAGCTCAGACTAGAATTTGCCGAGACCCGTGCGTCTGTGAAGTTCTTCACGAAAGAATTCCAATCTCGTGCGTAGGTCCCGATGTCGATTGGATCGTGGCAGGAAGCGGCTCGGTTTCACCAGGCACCGGTCGCACCAGAGGTCAAATCATCGCCACGTCCAGGTCTGCGCAGGGAAGGGCGTCCAGGTAATCCTCCAGTCGTCTCAGGACGTGATCACGCGCGATTTCTCGCTGATATTCCCCATTAACGTTAACATGTCGCACGTATCGTTTCAGGAACGTCAATAATAACCGCGAAAGCCCGTGGACGGAGAGACCCAATCTCGTCGCGCTCGGTGTCGGCCTGCAGTCCAAGAGCGAACAATCGGTGGCTTGGCAAATATTGCCTTCGCAGAGTAACGTAAGCTAACACCGCTTATTTTCTCATATTTTCAATATTGCCGGAATACGCGTTGTCTTGCACAGAGAGAATATTTTAGTTTTTCTTTTTTTTTTCATGTAAACTCTTTTAAATTTTACCGTGCTTTTTAGTAGAAATGGACTGTTGGTAGAACTTATTTTATTACGGAACGGCTAGTAAATATTGTAATAGTAAATTTCATTTTTACTTCATTTTTATTTAGTAGTAAACTTTCATTTTAATATATATAGAGTATTAATAAGTAGTCCACTTATCACGTCGATTCAACCTAACCTTGTGGATCCCGATTTCTCTTCAAACAATATTAACCCTTGTCTTCTCAAACTCTGGAAACTCTGGAATATCTGGACGACTATTAGCAGTTTCATGAAAAATATAGTCTCAGCCAAGCATAAAAAATTTATAAATCGACAAGCTTAATGATCCATGGTGCCACGATGATGTATAGAGAATGTATATTTTAGCTAGAGAGGTAGAGCTGAAAATATTTTTATCAGTCTTCCCGAGCTCCCAAATTGCGCGTTCAATACGCGATCGTCGCGATAAACGCAATTTTCCGTGGCAATGAAATTCTATAACACGAATGAATAAATGTTTGAGTGTTTGCGGTAAACAGTATCTAGATTGATACGCTATTAATGATTCTCCGCCAATTGTAATGGAGGTACCACTTTACATAACGCTTTCTATCTCTATCGATTTCTCATTAAATACGGCATTGCTATCCTTTTCCCGATGTCATTATCGTTATTCATACGAGATATGCGCTTTGCAATGCAAATGCAGAAATATCAAATATCCAACAAAGTAGGAAGCGGGCATGATAGTGATATATACACTTTCTCTCTCTCTCTCTCTCTCTCTCTCATTCTCTATTCCCCTCTCTCACTCTCTCTTCCTCGAGTTTATTTTGCATATCTCCGCGATCCTTCATAATTATTCGTAAAGTGTGAATTAAGTAAGGAACATTAAACACGGAAGGCATTACTCTGCGTGATTTAATGACATAACGTTTTCGCGATTTGCATTTCGCCGCTGCAGTTAACGTCGTTAACAAGAATTCAATGTAGATGGTCGTTGAGTCCCGTAAGGTCATTGGTATGCCTGAAGGCAGTAATAAAACGCAAAATACAAGCAAGATTGTTCAATCTCGCATTTTATGTTATATATGTATATGTATGAGTAGAGTTCGTCTGTTTCTCTTTGAATCAAGACTCAGGTGATGAGCTGCCATGTGAAGCGCGACACGAGGTTACTTCAATTTTCTGCTTGATCTTTCGCAACGTAAGCGTTCGCGTCCTCTGAATTAAAATCTTTTAGCGATTGTACGCGCCAAATGTCACAGTACTTGTTAAGAAATATTAATGGTTAGAGCATCCCCGCGTAGAAATCGGCGAATTGGGCTCGATGTCGCAGTCGCCCGAGTAAGTATCTCTTTCTGTTGCAGGATGACAATGAAGATGAGATAACGGGGCCGAACGGACGAAACGCAAATGCGGGTAAATGCGCGATTCCTCCGCCTTCTCATTTCCTATTATGAGCGAAGAGCACGATTCGACTTGACTTCGAGGGGCGGCTCGTAATGGCGTTTCGATTTTTCAGGGGTGCCTCCGAACTTCAATCTGAGATTCGGGGAACAACTGCGATCGTCTTACACGTCGTCGACTCAGCTGCACGATCCTGTCGGGACGGACTCTAAGAATCTCAAAGAGATCTCCGACAATAATTTCGGCGAACAGAAAGCGCGAAGTCGTAAAGATCTTAATGAAATCGCTAAAGAAAAGGCAAGACTAACAGCGACATTAGAAGTCGCTATTCCATTTATCGGTTCCACGTAAATGTGTTCCTCGTTCACATGCGACACGACAACATATTCTAATTTGCAATCAAAACAAAATCGCAAAATTCGCCTAAAAGAACTAAATGCTAGATACAAGTGCAAAAGAGCAAACAGATTGGTTTTTATGGGCTAATTTTATGACTTAATATCTCAGAGTCTCATTTTCTATTATTTTTTTAATGTAATATATTGTTATTAGTGATAAGTATTTATCGAGTAGCTGTCAAATAAAAAAGAACATATACATTCACAGGACACAACTGTCAGAGGAGAATCAAAGATCCCGGTGTTGCTGATGCGCGAGCGTCACAAGATAACGTCGCAGAATCGCGAGAAGTCCGTCAACTTGGAGTACGTCAACCTCAACTTGCGAAAACAAACGAAAGACGCCCTGGACAGTAACCGAAATCGAATAAATTCGCGGCAGGAGAACAATGTCGGGTGAGTATTGCCGTTGGAGCGTCGCGTGTCGAGCGCAAATCAATCCTCTTAATTAAGCTGATCTCTCGATCTCGATAATTGAGCTCCTGATCCCTCGATTATATCGACGCTGTTGTTTCGAACGTGCAGATCATACGCGAGTACGTACCAACGGAGGAAGCGTCTTCAGCAAGAGGAGGCGAGCCAGTTTCTGAATCAGACGTTCGACTCGCACTGCGGCAGTTATCATTCATCCTCCTACGTGAAAGCCTTGGGAACCAGAGAGTACAGCGTAAGCGACTTTGTACTTCGGTTTTATACGGAAAGATTGGGAAATTCGCGTGACACACGAATTCGGAAGCTCACGCTAAGATAACGACTTGCATCCCACGCTTTGTCGATGCGCTTGTTCTCCTCAAAATGTTCATCGCGTTAACGTTCGCTGCCAGCGTCACACACATGTGACGGCAATAATTTTCCTTTCTGTGTGTATCCATAAATAAACCAAGTCTGTTTTACATAATTACATAAAAATAGATACAGTGTATGGTCTGTAGGGAAAATTAAGTCGTGGCAGGGAACGTGTTAATGACTGTGTAAATGATAGTTGCAGATTGCAGTCGCGCACATGAATCCTATTGCTTTTTCATAGGGCGTCACGGACAGCAGAGAGGGAATTTTCTCGGACGATAATTCGCATTATTACGGCAGATTCGTAGATAACGAGACATTTACGAGTAAAAACGAGAGCTCAGATTACACGGGAGGAGGAGGAGGACGACAACGATCGTTATCCAGAAACATGCAACAGCAAACGCTCGTTGAAACGTGAGTCTCCGAAAATAGCGTTCTGCAAGTTTGTTCGCGAAAATTTTCCTCAGACTAATTAATCCTCGTGCTTGCAGGTACAGCTCGATTCACGAACGACAGAAGCTGATAGACAAGAACACGTACCGACCGTTGCGGACCGCTCCGAGTCCGTTGACTCGCGTGAGCCGGGAACTTCCAAATTTCAATTCGCAAGACGCGGATAGCGAGAAGGACGCGATATTCCGGGTGAGTAAATTGTTTCTTGTTTTTTATTCAACTTTCTTCTTCCCTCATTTTTGATGAACACACATTGTTCCGAAAAATAAAAATTTTGTAATTCGAAAAATGGAACAGTTTTCCGGAAAGTCATAATTTCGAAAAATCCAAATTGGAAAATCGAGTTAAAATACAAATGTTGCAGGTATGCAATTGTCCTGAAAAGTTATCGGAATCAATGTAATAAAATAATGTATGAAGAAATTATTATCATCATTATTATTATTTTGGAGGAACTATTTTCCGGTATATTGTTTGATCATATTAATTTCAATATCACAATTCAGGAAAATTTTATTCTGCCAATATCTCGGGAAGAAGAGTTATATTTTAGGAGATTGTCTTGATATTTTGAGAAACTATTCTTTAGAAAATTGTCTGACTTTTTGAATCTTGGTATGTTTTTCTTGAAACAACATATATTCTCTCTTTCTCTCTTTTTCCATACAAAATTGACTACAGAAGAGGACAAAAAATCTAAATGAAAAATGACTCTTTTCTGTAACTTTTGTCAATAATCGTTTAAATCAGAAATACCGTTTGTAAACCGCTGCTAACATAAAAATTCTTGCAGTCCAGAGATCGTAGGACGAAGGACGTGCAACAAAGGGCCGAGGTGGACCCGACGTCGTCGGATCCACGGGAGAACGGGCGTCCCTTTTCGGAAAATTTCGCCGATCCTCATCGAAGAAGGTTGCGGTCATTGTCGCCGACGCAGCTCCACCAATCAAGGCAATTCGTCAGGCTGGCTTCCAGCAGGTATCACGCCGCGTCGATGTACGACATGTGAGTTATCATAATCACACATCGTTAAAAACGCACGTACCTCTGCATCTCGAGGCCAAAACTCGCATCGGCACACCCTTGTATGCCCGGCCGAATTTTTTTTCCTTGTGCCCAGGCAACTCCAGACCGATCGATTCTGGCCTAAAATAACCGCGAGCAAAATGTCGCGTATCGATCACGTGAGATAATATGCAGAAAAGTCGCCCGCCAAGCGTCGGGCAACGGGCTTATCCGAATTCAGCAGCGGATAAAACGTACGACTTGATGGACGACTCGAGAGGAGCGCGTTAACAATAACGACTTCGCCTTACGATAATTAAAGAAACGAATTGGGACGCGCGTGTGCAAAATGTCAGGGAGAGAAAAAAGGGGCAGGTTGATTGCAAAGATGTAATACACACAATTGAGACGACAGTTGTGAGCGAGCCGCAATAGCGGCCACGAGGTACGTGACCTCGCATTTCACTTAATCTCAATCTCGTCACGTGACACACATTATTATTCTTAACACACTTAACGCGGTGTAATAAGATTCAGATCGTCGATTCCAGGTCGGCGAAATTGCCTCGCTTGCTGCCGCGATTTTTAGAGCCGATAAAGCTGCATGTAAGCCGCGATTGCATACACACCCAATCGCCTTTAAATTTATAAAAACACCGTCCGTCCCGTTCAGACCGTCTATCAAGATCTGCAAGAGTCAAGAGGCTTAATTTTTAACGCGGCCGAGTGAACGAGCGAGCTCGCGAACTCGTGGAGTGTGCCATTGCGAGGATTTCAAATCCTCGATTTGGTCAATCAATAGAAATACAAAGACGCCTCGTGTCTAACGTCCTATTTAAAAGGCACTTCTTCGATCCGCACGTGCGCGGAGAAATTGCGCGATTCTTAAAATTCTTGACATTTTTTCACAGAGACAGAATTTCTGTCTGTTTATAAAATCTAGCGGGAAAGTCTCTCTCTGTGGCGCCCGTCCAGAATCAAGTCAATAATTAGTAGCAGGTTCTAAATTTCCTTGTAGATGTTGCTAGAATGCTGTTGCTATGAATTCTACGTATTACAGACAATTTTCTAACAGATAAAAAGAAGTAACAATCAAATATTAACTGTGATATTTAAAATTTTCTATCTGGGTTGGCAACATTTTTTTTTTTATGAGAATAAATAAGAGAATGGTTCTGCAGTCATTTAGTTTAGCAGCAAAAATGATCTAGATACGAACAATTAGCTAAGGCCTGGTTGCTCCAACATTATTTTAAGCGAGATTTAAACATGTATCTATTATTATCTTTCTTTCTAAATAAATAAAGACAAATATATTTAAGTCTCGCTTAAAACCGAAATAATGTTGGTGCAATCAGGTCTAAAATAAAATAAATGGCTGGATAACGAGATATTGAATAACCCAACATTGGCTAGTTTTGTATTCAATTAATAGAGAGACGGAATTTCCATCTGAACTGTTTGTAAAATTTAGAAATACAAAGACGTCTGGTGTCTTTCGCTGAACGCTGTTTAAAAGGCACTTCTTCGATCCGTGCGCGCGGGAAAACTACACGACTCTTAAAATTTAGCGCTTGGGAGCTTGCACACGCGGCGGGCATTAACGGGGCGCTCGGTGTGTGTACGTGGCGTGTAACATGCGGGACTATTGTAGATTGTCGAAACGCCTCACGCTCTATCCTCCATTCGCTGAATATTTAAAAGCTGAGCCGGCACGCAGCCACTGATCGCCGTTTGGAGTTGCCTACCCGGCGTTACTCACCGCCTTGGATAGCGCCGTATAAAACCTACCCTATAAAAATCGCGTTCCCTAACGCTGCTACTTTACCCTCGATAATTATTTCTAAGGGAATGCTGAAGTCGATGATGAACTATATCGATAACGCTGAGACGATTGTCATTAACACAATTCTATTGCTATTTTTTGTACATACAGAACTTACTTGCGTAAATGTGTGTTGATTTGTATCACCATATTCAGCGGGAAACTTAACCACATATGTAGAAATCTTTCTGCAAACTTTCCAGATATTTTCAAGTTTTTAAATTCAGATAGAGCAATGTTCTTCAAAATTTTTCTATTTGACATCTTGCGGTATCACACTTTCGGTATGTACAAATTGCGGAATTTTTGAATCAGCCAAATATTACGCTGACTGACAGCTTGAGATTTTACATTAAAAAAGTTTTTTCGTTTTCGTCACATATTGAGCAATACTCCTATTTATTTTTGCGCATACTTTCATTGTGTAAAAACATTTGTAATACAACTAATACAATGTAAACTTTGCAGAAAAAATGTCAGTATATTGTCGGTAAAGTTTTTAGTATCAGCATTCCCTTAAGGCTCTTAAGTCTATATTAATAGTTGTTACTTGAAATATGTCTTAAATGAAATACTCGGGTCTAGACGTGAACTGATTCGGCTCAGCTGAATCGCGATTACAAATATAACGCCACGAATAATGTATGATTCAAATGAAAGACTCTCGTGCCATTTGAAATTCAGATCTGAGTATCTCATGCAAAACAAATTTTAAGTACACTGAGAAAAATATCTGAAAACTTATTTGTAGAATGTGAAGTTTATTCACAGATATAAATCTTATTTCACGGAAATAAATTTTATTTCACAGAAATGAATTCTTTATATTCCACAAATGAATTTTCAGATATTCTTTCTCAGTGTAAGGATTACTTAATTATAAAGCAGGTTACTGTTTCATCAAAGAAGTTTTTACGTTACTTTTCAATATTTTATAGTAAATTTTTTACGGAGTCTATGAATGAATGTGTTTGGTCATCATTTTTGTGTTGAATATTGTTAAAATCTCGATAAATCTCGATGGCGAGATTTGACTCCTGCTGAGGAAATAGTTTTTGCAACGTTGCAATTTATTCTGATCAGAAGGAGGGAATAATGTTAATATTAATACCATACAAGGAGAATTTAAAAAATTGCCAATGAAAACATTCAGACTGCATTTATATAGCAAAAAGTAACATAAAAGATTTTTTGACGAAGTAATAATAAAAATTACACACGCAATAATCAATCTGTATAGACTCTTATGAGACCATTAATATTTCACGTGATTAAAACTTCACCAATCAATTTTATATTCGCGTGCTGCATAATTCGAGATATTTTTTTGTAACGTTGTAATTCGTTGTGATCAGAAGGAGGGGTTGAATATTGTTGAAATCTCGATAGCGAGATTTGACTCCTGCTGAGGAAATAGTTTTTGCAACGTTAGAATTCGTTGTGATCAGAAGGAGGGGATAATGTTAATATTAATACCAAGGAAAATTTAAAAAATTGCCATTGAAAACATTCAGACGGCATTTATATAAAGACATTTATAGAAAGTAACATAAAAGACTTCTTGACGAGGCAATAATAAAAATTATACACGCAATGATCAATCTGTGTCGACTCTTATGAGCTCGTTAATATTTCACGTGATTAAAACTTCACCAATTAATTTTATATTCGCGTGCTGCATAATTCGAGATACTATCCCGAGTTTGCGCGAGAAACGATTTCTCGGAACGTACACGAGTCTACAGTGTGACTCACGGTTGCTTCTTCAGCGTGAAACGTATACGTCAGTTTTTCGTAAGAAGAAAGCTTACGCGACGGGACGATGAGGCGATCGGGAATTTCGTCGCTCGGGTGAGCCAGCAATTAGAATTTTCGCCGAAGTAAGAACTAATTGCGAGAGGACACGATAATCGCAACCTTGCCTGACAAAATCAGAACTTTGGATGTTTCGACGTCACGAGTATCGAAGCGACGAAACGACCGGAATGAGACGAATTCCGAGACGATGTTACGTGAAGGAGAGAAACGACAAGCGCGGTTAGCACCTGCCTGAACCTTCCTTAACCGCGTTTCACCTGGCTCGCATGACTCGCGGTAACCCTTCCCTTCGTGACCGCAAGGGGAAAGGCGAGTTAGGTCAGTGCGACTTATAGGGTGAACTCGAAAGGATAGTATTGGCGCGCAGAAACACAACCGCCGAGAGAGTGTCGTCGGCAGCTAAGAAAATCAGGATATGAAAAACGCATTTTGAGTCGCAGAGCATCACAATGGACGTCACATTTCACGTGTCATCACGCTCATAGCTCGAATTATCTATTTGTTTGCGTTAACATGAGCACAGTTAAAGTAAATATGCAAATCTCTGGAGAATGAAGGATATAACAGGAGAATGCTAGATATAGAGAGATATCTGATCGTCAAGAGAATATTTTTGCGCAATAGTAGCACATGAATTGAAGACCAAACTGTTTTTAAGAGTAAAAGCAAATTAACTGAATGTTGGTTACCACAGTGAGTACTCGATGGACCAAACATTCTGTAAAGCAAGTATATAAATGGAAAAAAACTTGCACACAGTAATTTTGCAAAGCGAAACTTGGAGATAAGTATTCGTATATTGTAATTCTCATTTGTAGAAAGTTGAAACCTTCATTTTTCTTTGAAGACTTTAATTTGTAACCACGATTTCTAAAAACTTCAAGACACATGAGAGAAATGCTTTGCTCTGCATCGACAGTTGGATTATTGGAGACTGAAACGACCAAGGTGTCCAAGATCGGAAATGCGTCGAGGCATTGATACTTTTATCTTATAGACGAGTTTATATTATTTCCAATAATTGAAATCAAAGACAATGGAAAGACCGCCTTTTCCACCCCTAACGTTGTCCTCTGCTCGTCGAGTGTTGTACGGAACGCGAGGTCAACGAGCACAAACTCCACTCATATCTTCGCCACCCTCTGCACGGTCGAAGAGAACAAAACTACAGCGAAGCTAAGTAAAGGGGCGAACGGACACGGCGCGGCGTGGGGCGGCGACGTGGGGGTGGCAGCGGCGGCGGTGGAGGCGGTAGTGGTCAGCAGCGTCGGGACCCTCGGCGTCTACGTGCCCCAGTCGTGCGTACGTCGTCGATTGTCGCGAGCGTGGTGCCCAACAAATGATGTATCCTCCCTCATTTCTGCCATTACCTACTCCTGTCCATCGCGGCGGGTTCGTCGCGGCGGGTAGAAGTTCTCGCGAGTTGTCGTCCAGCTTGCAACAGACGACGATCACGTAGACGCGATACGTAGAGCCGTGCCCGCCTCTGTAATTCGAATCGAACGGCAGCCTCGATCGCGTCCGAGGAATGCGACTGAGTGTGCGTCGCCTGCATGGTCGAGTGCATCGAGTGCGTCGTGTGCATTGACGACACGTGGTTTCACGAGTGGCAGTTATTACGCAAGGCTTGCCCTTGAAAACTTGCCTCCTAGGGACAATAGCGCGATAAATCCCGATCGAATCGCTGCCAGCCGGACGGATCGCGGGCCTACACGCACACATACAAACAGCAGCTGTAGGATAATTGCGTGAGTTCGATCGCGCGAACAATATACCGTGATGATGCGCTAAGTAATTCAACGACTCTCAAATCGCCGAGGGTAAAGCCGACGAAGTCGCGGCGAAGTGTAAGCAACAGTGTAAGACGACGTCGCTCACGAAGGTGACGGCGGAATAAATACGCAATACGAAACGGAAGTACCGCGCACGCGTCAGTGAGTTCGCACGGTGTGATCGTGGCGTATGACTACTCGAAAAATGGTCTCGCATCATGAGAAAAATGATCCAGATGCGAGAAATTAGTTAAGATGGATAAGCGATTAGCAAACATTGCGATATTGCATATGTTTTTGCGTTTAAATCGATACAGAGGCAGAATTTCTGCCTGTTTGAACTATTCGTAAAATTTAGTAGGAAAGTCTTTCTGTGGCGTTCATTCAGATATTAAAGCCAGAATAATTGGTAATTAAATCTAAAGAGCGTGCGAATATTTTTGGAATGCTACTGCTGCTGTAAATTCTACATACCACAAACAATTCTCTCGCAAATACAAAAAAACAGCGATAAAATTTTAACTGTGACGTTAGAAATTCCACCTGCGCCAGCAAAACATTTTTTGTGTGAGAATAAATAAGACACAACATTCAAAAAGAAAATAATCCTGCAGTCATTTGGTCTCGCAGCAAAAAATGATCTAAATACAAGCAATTGGCTAAGATGGATAAATGACTAGCTGGTTTTGTATTCGATTTGACAGAGACGGAATTTCTATCTGAGCTGTTTGTGTAAAACTTAGTAAAGGAAATTCTCTGCGTAGCGCCCACTTCAAGGCCAGTTACACTTTCTTGTAAAAGTGCCTATGTTGCGGACAAAAAAGGCTAGCAATAAAAGATAAGCGAATATACAATGCTCACACCCACCTGAATTTGCTTGCAGACATTGCCAGAGTGCTGTGAGTTCTACATACCACAGACAATTTTCTAGCAGAGAATTATCTAGCAGAAAAAAAAACAGCGACGATGAAATTTTTGACTGACATTCAGAATTCCACCTGGACCAGCGTAATGTTGTTTAGCGCGTTAATATGGCACAGGTGAGGGCGATTCGCGATGGGGGTCGGCGCGACGCACGGACGCGGCCGACGCGAGCGATAAGAGCGCGTCACCTGTTCGAGGAACTCCGGAACGCGAGCTGCCTGGACACCTGATCGATAGTATAATCAGCAGCTCGCGATCTCGTGCGAGTGCCCGCATGCCTCTCACGCATCGATTATTTCGCACATTCCGCTGCCGGGAAGGTGGCCCGCTGATGGCAACGGCGGCTCGCCCGCGGTTTGGAATTGTTATCGGTATCGATTGGCTTCCGCGGTGCTCGCGCACTTGTTTCTTTTCACAACAGACGATCCCGAAAGGTCGAGGCGCGCCGTTCGCGAGTTACGCGGCTACGTTTAACCCTTGCCTTCCCTTCCTATCTGTCACGTGACTTTCGTCGTTGCATTAATAATATCGATATATACGACTTATCGATTATTACCCTTAGTAACATCAATATTAATTTATTCGTTGATTCATAGCCGCGTTCTTTCGGCAGTAGCTTTATCATCAAGGACGACAGTCTCATCAGTCATTTTGTTATCTTCATCAACCGCTCGCGAAGAAGAAGTATAATGACAACGGAGTTGATTATGCGATGTAATCAGCTGAACATACTACCACGAAAATCCATCGAGTTGTGTCCTTCAGCGAGGTTAAGGAAGGCAAAATTGTGACTTTTCGCTGATAAGAAGTCAGCTTCTTCATCTGCCCTTCCGTTCAAAAGGGCGAGATCCTCGAACATTTCGTGGTTCATTCAGGACGTTGTCCGTGACGTTAAATCGCACAAATGATGACATCACACCCGTCGCTCTCGGGAACGATCGGTTCATCACTATCGCCGGTGAGGCGCGTCTCGCTGTGGCGAACGCGAACCCTCGAGCGTGAGGTTCGGTGAAGTGCGCGCCAGCAGGATGATCTTCAAGTCCTGCGCGTGGCCGAGCGAGGTCAAAGAGGTCGGAACGCCGCCGGCGAACAGGACCGAGCGCAAGATCGCGCATGCCGTGCTCCGTTGCTGCCCTTGCGTCTTCCGCTGTAGGAAATCGGTCGGCGTCAGCCGCGACGAAGACGACGACGATGACGGCGGCGGCGGCGGCGGTGGCGGCGGTGGCGACGACGACGACGGCGCGTCCGTCTCGACCATCATCACCACGGCGACCGCGACGCCGGTCATCGCCTTGAAGCTGGACCAGAACAACGACACGGTGTACGTTGTACTGACATGGGTCGATACTGTCACTGATGATTTTCAAACTAGGAGAGAAAAAGATAAAGAGAGATGACGTGACTCGTAGGAAATATAATAGTAGTTGGTATATCGGATATACCTCTATAAGATGATGATTGGAGTTCCTCTAGAGAGTTAGGACGAAACATGATGACTCCTGATTGCATCTCGTCCGCCATTTTTAGGGATTACGTGAGTGGAAGTGAAAGAGAAGCTCTAAGACTGAAATGACGAGCAGGAGTTATCTCTCTTTTTCACTCATTCATACACATCTTCTCTACAAATGGCGGACGGTGTCTTACTTCTAACTTGAGGGATTCTAATGATGACGATGATGATGATGACGAGGTGTACGTTCATCGATCGCGACTGAGATGGTGGTGTTAATGTCGGATACCTGGGAATGTCCGATGTTACTCCTTAAATTCCCTGTAGTTCCCTTAAATTCCTTGTAACTTCTTATGCAACTTAATTATTTACGTAACTTAATCACTGTTACATGCATTCAAGTTTAAGGATACGCTAGCCTTGCACTTGAGCCGTGGCAGCCGCGCTGTTTTATTTATGGTGAATTTACCCGCATCGTGGTTATCGCGTCACGCATCCAAGGCTCTGAAAACGCTACTTCGCCGTGGCATTTTGTCGCGACTTGGGTGACTGGTTACTGAAACATTAATGTCGCGTCGGATCGGGTGCATGCACGGCGCTGCGTAAGAAACTGTGAGTCGATTTTTCTACTTTTGCATTTCAGCGATAAAGCGACGGTGAACGAGGAGGAATATAATGCGCGGAACAAGCGCCACTTCTCGACTGAGACGAGGAATTACAACTTGCAAAATTCGAACAAGGAGGAATCCCGGTGTCAAGGTATCCTATCTTCCTTCAGAACATTTTCCAAAATCACGGCCGTTCTGAGATCTTCCGTCCGAGTTGTTATCTCTGCACGCGATAATAATATAAAAAGAAAGAGAATCTCTTCTCTCGAACACGCGAGTTCGTCGCGCGACTGCGCGTTTGATGCTGAACGTGACCGTCTGATTCCGAACTTTTGTCGTCTTGTATAAAGTTGTAGGAATATAACATTTCCCTGAGTTTGTGAGTCAGAAGGTCGTGTTTAATTTTAAATGCGAACGGCAAGAACTACGCGTGGAATTTTGCTTCACTTAATCGGCGAAACACGGCGTGAAGTCTTGCGCAGAGGAGGGCGGAGCAGGTTTGGAACAAGTTCGCCGTGCGTTTCATCCCAGGCAGTGTTGGACATTAATCGATTCAAATTCTCTTCAACCAAGATAACCGGCAAATCATCAATCAAGATTTATCAACATTTCATAATCGTTTGCAAATACGTGCTGCTTGGATAAATTCATGAAATTACTTGTGATTTTATACATGACGATTGATTATTAATTCCGATAATTGATTTGCCGATTATTTTAGTCAAAGAGAGTTTTAACCGATTAATACTCAAGACTAATTTTAGAAAGCAGAAACTACTAAAAAACGTCTACTAAAAGATGTGTCACTTTCTTTAGGCGTTTTTAAAACGTCTTTTAAGAAATTTCTACTGGGATTTGTATATTTATTGTGAGAGAAAGAAATCGCAAAGTTTTTCTACAATTTTTACGTGAAATTTGCATCAACATATAATATCTGACAAATATTGGCAGATTGCTACCAATTTTATATTAATTGTGAGCACAATATCTACATCATTTTTTGATATGTCCGTATTGTATGAAATTAACATAAAAATCAGAGTGAACTGTATGATACAATCGACATGTGTCGAAAATTTAACATTAAAATATTTTACTGTGCACTGTGTAAAAAGGAACAATTTTACAATTTCTTTCTCGTCGCTTCCCTCGCAATAAAATTTGATATACAATGTATTCTTTGCTTTCTGTTTCTTTCTTTTTATCTCTTTCTGACTCAAAATTTGATCTACAATATGTTATTTGCTTCTTGTTTCTTTTTCTTTATCTCTTTCTGTCTCACACCTTAAGCCTAAAGTCTGATACACATGCTCTTTGCGTTCTGTTTCTTGTCTTCTGTCTTTTTTGGCTTAAAGCTTAAGATTTGAGTCAGAAAGAGATAAAGAAAAAGAAGCAAAGGATACATTGTAGATCAAGCTTTCAATTAAAAAAAGACAAAGAACAAGAAACAGGAAGCAAAGAGCACATTGTAGATTAGGTATTAAAGCCTGATCTACAATATGCTCTTTGCGTTCTGTTTCTTGTCTTCTGTCTTTTTCTGGCTTAAAGCTTAAAGTTTGAGTCAAAAAGAGATAAAGAAAAAGAAGCAGCGAAGAACACATTGTAGATATCAAGCTTAAGCCAGAAAGAGACAAAGAACAAGAAACAGGAAGCGAAGAGCACATTGTAGATCAGGCTTAAGTATAACAAAATAAACTCGACCAACTTGCCCCGGTCTCCTCTACATCAAGCTTCGGTAGACCACGGCGAGATCGGCCAGACACGACTCCATCTCGCGTCGGCAGGATCGAGCGAATCGGGATCGAATCCGCGAGATCGTTGTCGATGCCGAACGACAACGCGATGCCGAATAGACTATGAGACTTTCGACTGGCGCGAGGGTGGCTGAAGTGGAGCGAAAGGTTCTTCACCTCTCGCGCATGCATATACATAGAGAGCTTGGGCGGTGATCAATATTCCGCTGGTCAAGTCTAAGGTACGCGATCGAAGCTCGCGTTGTATCGCGCGAAGGGAGTCGGGTCGACGGTGTCTCGTCTTGGTCCGCCTCTGAAAATTGTCCGACCCTAAAAAGCTCAGCTTCCTCTCTGCTTAACGATCGCGCGGGAACGAGGGGACGAGCTCTCCGGCGGAGAGAGAGAGACCGGAGGTTCGTCGTGTAATTCGCCGACGCTACGACGGAAGTCGGGTCGAGCGACGATTACATGTTCGCTGCCTCACGTGCAAGTACACGCTCTCAAGTGCTTCTTAAACGCCATTCTTAGAGTTTCTACGTTCCTTCTCAGTCACCGAGCGCGCGCGCGAGTCCGCCAAAAGCGCGAGCAGCTCGTCGCCGGACAGGAGCGATCGGCGAGGCGTTCTCGCGGATAATCGAGACGCTGCGCCGCGAGATTACGGCAAGAATAGCAACAAGAGCAACAATAACAACAACGATGACGACGACGACGACGACGACGACGAAGACGACGACGACGGTGACGGCAGCGGATCGTCGACCCCGCGCAGCCAGTATGCCGACCCGGCGTTTGACGTCATCACACAACAGACGACGAGTCGTCAGAGTCGCGACGACGTCGACTCCTTTTTCGTAAGAACTTTCCGAAACTATGTCTTCCTGACAGCATGCCGAATTACTGATATAATTTCTACCTGCATACCACGATGTTTTACGCATACAGGGTGGCCCACCGTACACAGGAAATGATAGATTAATAATAGATTTTTTCACGTATTTGGAGTCGTTACTTCTACGGCGAAAATATAACGGGGGACCATCATTTGACGCAACATTTTATTTTCCAACGTTAAACATCACGGTAATTAAACGACAGATTTGAATTCCGCTCGAAAATAGTTGTCCAATAACTGAGGAAAGAGGAAAAGAAAAGTCAGTTCTTTGTACTTGTTTGACGAACATGTGTTGAATAATTTTGATTCTCTTACTTTTCTCAAACTTTTCCAACCGAGATTCTTAAACTGTACTTAAATTTCTCTGTTGTTTTTATTTTTATTTCTTTTGTTTGTGAGATGGAAAGTTGACTTGTGGAATTTCTCGCGTCTCTCCGGAGAGAAGTGTCGTCACGTTATTATTGGAATATATTTGATACGAAAGGATTTTGTCGAAGGAAATAAGTGATCCGCCGAGTGAAAAGTCTGATCGATGGGGAACCGTCCGTTTTAGACGCCGGTGGATGACAAGAAAGTGGAACGTCCGATCGAAGGGATGGACGCGCTGATCGAGGACGAGGCGTCGAAGGAATGGAGCAGCGAGGACGAGATGAAACCGACGAGCCGAATTGGTACAATTTCGAGGCACTCGGAACGCGGCGAGCCGATCGCGATGGTGGATGAGAATTGCAACGGCAGCACGACCGGGAGCAGCTCCGAACAACCGGAGAGTCGCGCGAGAAGAAGATCCATCGTATCCGTGATTGCGAACGAGCGAGTTCTTCCCTACGAGGAGCCGAATGTGTCCAAGGAATCGTTGCAAACCACCAGCTCCACGAGGAGTGCGAGCCCTAAGAAGTCCGAGTCTCTGTATCAATCGCCGAATCACAGCACTCATCACCTGCCACTCTCCAATTTGTCGCCGTCCAAGCGGAATTCCCGTTGCGGCTCGCGCAACTTGGTCAGTAAATTTTATGAGACATCCGGAGATTACGAGTTTGCGAATCGTGCATTTAGAAGCTCGAAATCGCGCCTAATGAGGAAGGAAATTGAATCAATTAGGATAGAAACTTAGGACAAAAATTGAACCAATTAAGACAGAAAGAGATTTTAGATTTAAGGCTCCTAGTCAAAACTGGCAAAATTGATAGCGAAAGGGTTAAGACTCCTGTTTCCTCGTCGCAGTCATTTTGATCGATGACGTCGCAAGCGAAAAAATAAGAAATAAAAATGCAAAGTTCGTATAATGCAAATAGTCGTACAATAAATAATGATGAGACATGACAAAACAAATTCATTTCATCATTTCACATGTCTCATTTCATTATTTATTATGACTATTTATTGATTGTCAGGAGAAAAGAATACCTTTCGGACAATTTTATAAGTATGCTCAAGCAATCTCAAATGTTCTTTTACCTATGTTTATCTTTAATCAGAAATGCCTCGCAATTTTCGTCAGCATGTCATTCCTCGCTTCTGACGTCACAAATTTGGCATGGCTGGCGAGGTATAAGGAACCTTCTCTCCCGTTAATAGGGTTGAAGCTACATTCCTATGTTGCTCGCCCTCTTTTTTCTGAATGTGTATTTCTGAAGGCACCTTGTCTTTTAATGAACGTTTAGCTGTTCGAACATCAGACCGGGGAATCTAGGGATTCCAGCGAAGAGAGATTAATCGCTTCCATAGTACCTGAGGATGCTTCCATTCGATCGTTGGACACCGGTCGTCCGCAGATTGACGTCGGCATGGCCGACTCACCGACGATTATCATCGCGTCGAGGCCCCATTCTCACGAGACCACCGAGTACGTCGACAACACGAGAAATATCGAGAATGCGAGCAGTAGAAGTACGCTCAGTCGAAACAACACTCAAGAGGTAAGAAGACACGTGCGTGATTAGCGATTCGCTGAGAGGTTCATCCATTTGAGCGTGTAATCGTGTCTCTTTCAGTCTACGGAGGAAGAGTTCAGTGTGAACGACAATCTGGAGGATAGACAGAGCAAGGACAGCGCGAGCGAAACGAACACGGAGCCGGGAATACTGAAGATCGAGGTATGGAAAATTACGAATAAATTTTCATACGACAATTTTATCGATCAGATTTGAGCCCAGACAAGTGATCTGGGGAATCGCTATGAGTTGTTGCATGTGTCGACGGCCCTTCTTTTACAGTCTGGTCCCATGGACGTTCTTGAAGCACGTAGAAGAATCCCCTCGAAAGTACCGGTACGCGGTACTAGTAGATACCGAACACTTTCTACCAAAAAAGCCGCGGAGAAGCCCTCGGAGAAGTGCAAGCGGATGGTGCAACAATGCTTTACGCAGCTTGAGAATAAAGACTGGTAAGTGCGAGATCTACCTCTGTCGTGCGACTTGTTCTTCTCTTTCTCGCGATTGAACATCCCGATTATGTTCCGTGAGATCCCTCTGTCGACAAATAAAAATAATTATGTGGTAAATTATCATGAATAATCTTTTTCTATTATTTCTTTCATCTTATTTTATATAATTATTATATATTTTTATCTTAATTTATATAATTATCCGTTATATTTATATACTACTGTGTCCAAAAAGTAAGACCAATTTTCAAGTTAAATTGCACGGGTATATCGAATGTCAGAAATATTTTTTTTCTAAATTGGTAGCACTGTGACAGACATCTGTGTCAAATTATGCGTCGTTTGCGTGAAGCTATTCGCAAAAAGAGGCCGGAATTGTGGAAAGACAACTCTTGATTTTTGCACCACGATAATGCGCCATCTCACACTGCATTAGTTCTTCGAGACCATTTCGCTAAAAATTCGACCCATATCATTCCACAACCACCATATTCACCTGATTTAGCACCGTGTGACTTCTGGCTATTCCCTAAACTCAAAAGACCGCTCCGGGGACACCGTTTTGACTCGATTAAAGAGATACAAGCTGAATCGAAGAAAGCTTTGAAGGCCATTCCGGAAATCGACTTTAACAACTGTTTCGAGGGTTGGAAAAAACGTTGGCATAAGTGTATTGTGTCTGAGGGGAATTACTTTGAAGGCGACGAAATAGATTTGGAATAATAAATAAAGATTAAAAAAAAAATTTTAAATTGGTTTTACTTTTTGGACACAGTAGTATACTTTATTTTTATGTATACTTACAGTATTATACTTTATTTTTATGTATACTTAATTAGCATTATATATACTTTATTTTTTTATTTTTCTTTATTTATTTTTATGTTTGCCTTCACACGCGCTGCATATTAAGTAACTAAATAATTTTTCTTTTCCTGTTAATAAAGGATCGTTAATAGATTGCTAAATGTATGAGAAGTGTAGCAGGTTGCAACCTGCAGGTTGTATATGGATCACTATGTCGAAAACTGACGAATGTCTGCATTCCAGGGAAATAACGATGAGAGGATTAAAGTCCCTGTCTCAAATTTCGAAGCAGTCGCCAGAATACCTGGAGATTTTCACGGTTGGAACTATAGCGAGGCTTTTGGGACGACACGTGAGGAATCTCCGTTCGCAAGTGGCGCGAGCTGCGTGTCACACTTCCGGCGATGTTTTTAGTTCGCAGATTCGGGGCATTGATCAGGTGAGTATCGAGCCGCCTTATGTAAAATGCCCGAAGAAAATGTCGGCTGGCGGAAAGGTATCGCGTCTATTTCTATTCAATACGCATGTTTTTCGTTACCGACCTGTTTTTCTTCGCTTGCAGGATCTGGACGAGATAGCGGGACCTCTGCTTCACAGGACGGCCGATACGAATCGATTTCTTCGAGCGGATTGCAACGCAGCTCTGGATCAGATGGTGCAGCATCTGCCGCCTCATAAAACCATCGGTGTCATCGTCCTGCGAGGAGCGAGGCGAGTTGAAACTTTTAAATTTTCAGGGAATATTCTTGCCTACAGAATATCTAACGTTTAATCGCCTCCCACGTACTATCACTTATTCATTGATATTCTTTAATTAAATTATTATACTATATATTATATATATAGAATGTCCCAGACTTTCCTTCGAAATTTTTGTGAGATAAACTTAAAAGTCTTATACCATGGAGAAGAGTCTGGGTCATCCTGTATACATATAATATGATATATAACTATTTATTGTATGAAGATTGTGGTAGAAGACTTTTCTGCGTGTTCGATTTGTTGCACAAGCGTTGGCAAGCCGATTGTCAGACACTCAGTGTATGTTTCACATTACCTGTAACTTACTTGCCAATTATTCTGTCGCAGCCATCAGAACGCTATCGTTCGCGCGGCGACCGCGCGACTGTTATCAGACATTATCGATAACATTGGGCCCGATCACGTGATGATCTTGCCGCGCGACGTGAGGGATAAATTACTGAACACCGGCGCGAAAATGCTGATGGACGGAAATTTGGACGCGAGGTAAGTCGAGCACTACTCTCTTCTCCACTTCTCCATTTCGTTTTTCCAAATCAACGGCATCGCGCAACGATAAATTCGCATTTTCAGGAATCACGCGAAGAGGATGTTTCGGCGACTGACCCGTTGCGAAGGCTTTCGGAAAGCGCTGACGGATGCGGTGCCCGAGGCGACGTTACGACACATCGACAAGATCATGAAGACCCTTTAACTGAGATGGACCGTCCGAGCGATTTAGTCAGCATAATGCAACTTAGGTCTGCCGCCGCTTGGACTACTTCAAAAGACTGCTTCGACGCGGCCGACGACCCGGTCGGAGAATTGATTTACGGCACGAATTTTGTACGAAAGATGTGTATATCAAGGAAAATGTGATCAGACAGACGGTCGTGAATAGCTTCTCTCCCTATACGCGTACATTTCCCTTCCGAAATTACGGAATCGAATACAGCGAGAGACGATTCTTTTTTCAGTGAGGCGCGAGGGAGAGCGCGCGTTGCTCGACTCATCGATTTTATTTATTTACTTTTTTTTATCGACAGAGACTCTTATCGCGCGTGGACGTTTTGATACTTGATGACTTTAATATACACGCGTGTACAATCGCGAACTTAAAGGTTGACACGTTTCTTCTTCGATGCACCTCGGCACACAGCCGACGTCCGAGAGAAGAAATTATTTGCTCGAAAAATTCTCAGAAGATGAGTTTCAATTCTTCGCGGCCGTAATACTTTAGAGGTAAAAGTACTTTATCGGTAATATCCCGAACTCTATTTGGCCGCGACGGATTAATAGGCTTTAATAAGGTGAAAGAGTAAGACACTTTATGTTTCATATGATATACAAAAGTGTTACGTAAGCTTAGACAAGTTTATCAATCTTTATGTCCGCGATTGTACATGAATTTTTTTATATAATTGTATAAACGAGGCGCACTTCGGCGCGAGTACATGCGGAGAACAAATAGTAGTGCCTTCTCACATATCGCGGTGACCGTAATGAATCTCCCGGCTCGATCACACACTCGCTCGCACAAACAAAGAAATAAAAACCGATCGGCCAATCGACGCTCGTGACTGACGTATAAATAATCGCCGACGTCACTCGAAAAAAAGGATAGTCATGTTATTGTCGTCTTCACCAACTCTACATCGACGAGTTGCAGGAAGAGAAAATCTAAACGAACTTCCTTTTCCGGAGCGGAAAAGGGTTCGAAATCGTTGCTGGCGGCAATGATTCCGTTTCCCGGAGTCGATGATGCTTCTGTCAGCCAAAAATTTGGATACATTTGTTCGACACTGTCAAGTGAATAAATTGCTGTTTGGCGATTTGATCGATCCACTGAATAACACTCCAAAACGCGAAGAAGAGAAAAAAAGAGAGAGGAGAAAGAGGGAGAGGGAGAAAGAGAAAAAAACGTCGGCGCGAGTATCCGTAAAATTTTGTAGATTAAATATATCGAGTGTGATGACAGTTTGATATTTGCGAGAGAGAAATTACAATAGGCATCCGAGCATACGACTCTAATTTTTAAACCGTCCTTTAGAATTGTATATTTGAAGAATAATTCATATTTATACAGATATACATATAAAGAAAATAATAATTTATACACATACATATATATGTATACCGTCGTACGAGAATAATTGCTTATTACCCTGAAGGCACACACATATATATATATATATATATATATATATATATATATATATATAT